GGCAGTCGCAATTGCGACCATTCGGTTGCGGCCAACGAGGCAATATAGGTATAATAAAAGTGTAAATTCTGTATTACTAGACAGACACCGAACCCAAAAATGAGATTAAGAACATTTTCGTCTGTCTGTCTGTCTGTCTGTATGTTCACGAATCACGCAATTCCCGGGTCGGGCAAAGTATTACTGGGTTTTTAAAAATCTCAGTAATAGCACGGAGTCTGGACATGTGCCCGGTATATGGCAATAGGCTCACCCCCTATTACATGGGACTCATAACATAAATAGTGAAAAAGTGGATGTTACATTGTATAGTGGCATTAAGTGCCGTAATATGCGCCTCTGCCTACCCCTTTGGGGATAAAAGGCGTGATGTTATGTTATGTTATACCTATATGTATTGTATAGATAATAAATAGATAGGTGTATTTATTTAAGCATTTAAATATTCCTCACCTACCGCCTGACGCAGGTCCTCACCGGACATGGAAGTTTCGGGAGGTACCTGTGTCTGATGGGGCGGGAGGAAACGCCCGGGTGTCATCACTGCGAGGACCGCCCTGAGGACACGGTGGAACACACCGTAGCGGAATGCCCTGCGTGGGCTGAGCACCGCCGTGCCCTCAGGGAAGTGATCGGCGATGGCGACCTCTCGCGTCCGGGCCTAGTGCAGGCCATGATGCGGAGCGAGGGGGACTGGGATGCCGTCTCCTCCTTTTGCGAAGCAGTCTTGCTAGCTAAGGAGGAGGCGGGACGCGTGAGGCAGCGAAGCGCTGCCTCCTCGCAACCCAGCCATCGCGAAGGACACACCGGGCGTCGGGGATCGCGGGACGATCTCCGGCCACCGTAAGCGCGGGCCTGCGGACGGCGAGCATGGGTGGCTCCCCGTCCGACCAGAAACAGACCCGAGCGTACGGCGCGTCGCGTTCCGCGCGCGCCTCAAAGAGCCATCAGACCACCACAGATGGGGCCCAATAGGGCCGATGCCGATTCGGAGTCGCGGAGAACCTAACGGGTAACCGGGGCTCCGGCTCGACGTGCAGGAGAAGGAACGGGGTGGTTTTTAGTCAGTAAGAGTCTGACACTCCCTTCCGCCTCACCCAGGCGGGAGCAGTCATTCGATGATTTTCCCCCCTTAAAAAAAAAAAAAAGCATTTAAATATATACTGCACTTATTTTAGCTCAACGATGTAATTCGTATTTTAAAAAAATTACAAAAAAATAAATTATAGATGTCTCCCTAATTATTAGTTGTGGTTTACATAAATCTTTGGCAACCCCTTTGTGCCCACCTCGGCTTAATCTTCAAAGTAAATGGGTTAAATGAAATATTAACAGTTATTACTCTATTATTGCTAACATTTTCATTAAATTACAAATAATTTAGTCCAAATGTATTTTACAAAACATGAACGACCTACTAAAGTACATAGAAACGTTCATACAAAAATTATGATATACATTGAGACTTGGCGATATTCCACCTCCAAGATAAATTGATAAATATCAGAAATAATTCAAAGTGTAACAGATTAGTAAAGTTTTATTCATTTGTTTTATAAACTAGGTACTCCTTCTTTAGCACCTAGCTGTTTTTAATTTAAGACAAAAGTTTTGAATTTCGAACATGTTGCTAGACTACTTCATTTCAAAATTCGAAATAACTACTTGTTTTTTTTTTTAATAAATTGAATGTTATAGACTTAAGTTTCGAAATACTTCTACGGAAATCGATAGGTAAATACAATTTTAATAATTTAAAAAGTTAATGACTTTTTTTATCTTTATTTATTTACAGGGTTTTTCTTAATTGAAAACGTCACCCCGATTATTGAATACAAAAAGTTAATGACTTTTTACAATTTGAAACTTCACAATTACGATCTTTTTAATACTTTATTTACGGTCGGCGTAAATGTCATCCCAGTAAGCAGTCACAACAAAGTTTTTTACACGTATTTAATGAACATAAACATTGCGGATACAATTTAATGACACTCCGTTTAAAACAACATAGTTTTATTAAAATACGCACTGACATTAATTTATAAATTAATGTCAGTGCGTATTGTGCATAGATTTATCTTGAAATAAGAATCTGTATACTAGATTCATCAGTTTCCGTTCAATATTTTATGCCTACGCAAAAAGCTTTCACGTTTGAAAAAACAGCAGAAAAAGTTTCCTTTAAAAAAAATGAAATTCGATTTGAAATTTTCCAACCAGTCAGTCCGAGAAATAGACAATAAATCATTCGAATTAACTTTTTAAAAATTCAAACAAATGAGGCACAGATTCTGTAGATATGATCCGGATGACATATTCATGTATTAGTGTTAGGTTAGCGAATAAGGTTACCTACTTGGATGTAACAAAGTGATGCTTTAAAATATTCGCGTTTTATCATGAGAATAAAAGAGCACGAAGGTAAGAAAATGTTACGAATTAATGTTTTAGAGAGGTAATAAAGTCGTAATGGCAAATCTGTCGTAAAAACTGATCAACATTCTGGGTTAAACTTTTAACTCGCCGAGAAATAGGTAGGTACACAAAACACCGCTAATTAGTTCGCAGCGCTACACATCGACACTACTATCTTTTACACAGTGTATGTACATTAAGAAGAATCGTCTTCGTTTTTTTAAACATCCTTTGACCCGTGCTGTCGGTGTCACTCAAACTGCTAGACAGCTAATAACACAGTGTTACGGTACACCAACTATTTAGACTATAAACATCCAGATTCTAGACAAAGCTAGATCTAGACTAGACTCGGTTAACGACCTAGGTCAACGATCGCGTGACGTCATCTGATTTGATTGACAGCTTCCGCGAAGTTTAATTAGTAATTTTCCGTTTACTAGATAAAATAAAATCACGCTTTTTTTGTGGAGAGTTAGGCGAAGAAAGTGAAGTATGGATCGCTACATAAAGTAAATTAATCTGCCTAGAACGAATTGTCTGAATAACCCGTGGGTTTAATATTATGACCACCAGAAAATACTTTGGTAGCATAAGTTATTTTACCAAAAATATTTGGGGTGACGTGTAACTCAATGTATTGCTCTCGGGAGGTCATAATACAACCAATTTCCTACAAAATTAACCCTAAGGTCCCTTGTCCGGAAGTGGCTAGTTGCTGAGATATTCAACATTTTCGGTTTTGGTCAAAAAATCTCGAACTACAAAATCATCAATAATTAAAAAGCTACTGGTTTGATTCAAGTTGCTTTAGTTTTTATCGGTTGTCAATATATCAATAAACATGTATTAATACGTACTATACGTGCCTAAATCTCATTCGTTAAAAAACAGCAGGTAAACTCTTATCAAATTTTGTTTTGACTCACCAATTCGGCCACCAAGCATACTTACTATTAAAAAAGTTTTCTTGGCTATTTAGCTACCCAAAAATGGTAAATTACTTATAAAAATTAAAAAATAAATTATTAATTTGATATTAAGTATAGTGTAAAAGAAAAAGAGCAATTTCAAAAATATCCTTGGGAGTGTGGTATGCCGGTTGATTATTACGTGGGGTCTCATGAAGTCTCTTGTTTATGCAACGCCAATACCAACAATTGAAATTCTGAAGCTGAAAAAATTATTGAATCGACTGGAGAAATAAGACGCATATTCAGTGCAAGAGAAAAGTTTAGTGTAAGAAGGAAGAGTATGTATTCATTGTAGGGGAGGTCACTTTGAAGAACATGCCCCGGAGCGTTGCTTCGTAGCCATTTTTTGGAGCATACGTGACCTTTCTGTGTAGCTGAGCGATAATTCTGAAGATACTTGCCTTTTTTAGGTTAACCGACTTTACGTTTATTGGTGATCATTTATATTCAAATGGTGATTTTTTTATATAAAAAACCTTGCCCCACACTACAATTTTCTTCTCTGTCGTGGGTGTGTTTACAAACATACAATATCACATTCACATACACATGACACCCAGACCCGGAACAACAATCTGTGATGGATGGGATTTAATTCTGATAAGTACTTACGATTTTTTGGGCGTTATATTTCATTAAATCTGGTGATTGCTTAAACCTGTTCTGACAATCATAAGAAATAAAGGCACAACAATAATATTTAGTTCTAAATTCAAATCAGTGACTCATTGTCTAAATGTCAGTTGCCGCGCTCCAGTCCAGGTGACGCTCTACGACTGCGTAGGAAATATCATTTTGAAACCGTGCTACCGTTAAAATTGTATGGTATAATAAAAATGAAACCCATACTAGGTGGAACATTGGTATGGTATCTAATTTTATTCTAATAATCAAGCTGCATTGCTACTTAAATTATTGTTTTTTTAAACCAAGGGCACCTAAGTGCGTAATAAATATTGTAAAAGAGTTTTATTCGCTAACCACAGTAACCACAAAACGATTGACTGCACGGTTGGTGCGGTGGCTGGGCAACCGGCTGCCGTGCAACGTGTCGCGGGTTCGATTCCCGCACGGAACAACACTTTGTGTGATCCACAAATTGTTGTTTCGGGTCTGGGTGTCATGTGTATGTGAACTTGTATGTTTGTAAACGTACCCATGACACAGGAGATAATAGTTTGGAGCAAAGTTTAAAAAAAAATCTACATACCTCGTCACAAGCTTCGCAATATACTGTTTATTTCTAAATCAGTGATTTTTCTGTCCAGGTAGTCCTCGATATCGTTTTTGTTTTGGTTCTCTTTTACCTTTTACAAAGTTCGTACTTAATTAAGTAACAAATTGTTTAGAAGTTAAAATTAGCTACAGTCCTTATACTCTTTACATTACCATCGAATAAATAATGCTGTGGACCGATACAAAGTCGTATCGCTCACACTTTCAAAAATTGCTAACCAAAAGCCTAACTTATGATTATACTTTAAAGTACTCAATAGATCCTCGGTATATTTATGTCACTCTCTTGTACTGTTGCCGGTGAAAACTCGTCCTTATTATTACCTATGTTCTTAAGTCTAAAATACTCAAAATATCTTCCCCTGTTTCCAGATGGCTAGTCCGCGTGATAGAGGACGTGCAGGAGGGCGAGCTGCGCACGCGGCAAGGGTACGTGCCCGCCGACGTGCTCAAGGAGAAGCAGACTGCTGAGAGGGACCAAACTGCTCTGGCCGCGAGAAGACAGTAAGATAACGTACAATACCATTTAAAGCAAGGTTGCCATCTAATTATTCTGAGCTAATAATAATGTCTACAGAATCTGTTTTGACATAAACAGTAGAATAGGGCCTACTATATTTTTGCCGACCAGCTGGTGTTAATATGCATCTCTTGTTATTCATCCAATAGCGAATGAGCTAGTGTCACACCGTAGGACGTTTAATATGACGCCCGTGATTGGACAAAAAATATCTTCCAACATATACGTCATCTGGTGATATAAGTTACGGTAGCCCGATTGCGTTGTATTCGTCGTGTGATTGAATGAAGTGAGGTTACCAGATGCCCAATTACGCTCTTCAAACTCCTAATCCCCAATAGACCGGTAATGCACTTGTAACGCCTCCAGAGTTCCAGGTGTCCATGGGCGACGCCGATTGCTTACCATCAGGTGATCTGTCTGCTCGTTTACCGGCTTATGCCATAAAATAGCCCCCTTTGCAGGTGCATCTGTCCATAAAGTTTTCGTTTTATGTGTTCTTACATCCACAAATTCATACTGGTCAAGAATATTTCAGTCGTCAACATTCATAAATATGCGATCTCAATTGACGCAAATTGTAAGCTTCATAATGACATTGTGTTCATAAAGCGATGGTAGGATATCAAATTGTTTGAAACTTTGAAAGGAGATACACATCTGGCGATTACTATGGCAAGTGTCCGGACATCTTTGAAGTGTGTTGTTTTAACGTTTTATGATTGTCTTTGTCGCTATCATGTCATCTACGTCAAAGTCTTTTTGTTATAATTCTCAAATTGACGATTCCGACGATGGCTTTGATCAAATATGTACCTACTTACCTACTTTTCTTTCTTTGATTAGTGTGAAATATTAACAATGCCATTAAAATCTCAGTTTCGAACAAATATCGAACCTCCGAATAATAAAACACGCAGGTCCATCAGTCGTATCACCCGATACAAAAATGACTTGCAATCGTTATTCGTTGCATGACTTGGCATCATTCATAGATGATCATCTCATGGTCGTCATGTACCAAAAAAATATTCGACCTAATAAAATATAATGCATCAACACTCCTCTCAAAATACTTTTATGTATCTACCAAGGTAAATGTCATGACAATAGAAGGTTGTGTTTATAACACTGTACACTTCCGAAAACCTTGGACTTGAGCGAAATATTTATAACTGTAAAAACAAAACTGAGATTTATTGTAAGAAGTCTTAACTCTATAATTCAAGTAAATCCGCGTCTATTTTTATAAACATCCAATGGTAGATGTTGGATGTAAGAAAAAGTAGTTATCACAAAGTATAATTATAAATTTGTTTTTCTATGCTAATTAGAATGTAACACAATTAAATATAACACCTCTCTTTTTGCGTCGAGGGTTTTTTTATGGAATGAGCCGGGAAACAAGCAGACGCTTCACTTGATGGTATGCAATCGACTTCGTCAATGGAAACCTGGAACACCAGTGGCGTTACAAGTGCGTTACCGGCCTTTTGAGGATCACGAATTTGAGGATTGTTGTAACCTCACTCGCATGACGATACACAACGCAAGCGTTGTTTCACGTCGGTTTAGTGTGAGGCCGTGGTATCACTCCGGTTGAGCCCGCCCATTCATGACGAAACATGGCTCACCCACACTTAAAGCTGTGAATTTTTACTGTCAGCTAGAGGCATTCGGTAGCGAGGGAGTAAAATATAAAAAAAATACTTAAACAAAACGATAAAGATGAAACTAATGCACGTCGAGAGGTGCTATTATTATGTACTCCACATTTCCACGTGTAAGTACTTCTAGTTCGTTTTATTCGAGCACTTACTTCTTGGCAAAAACAGCTCTTAACTCGCAAATAGTCTCGTTAGTCGCTTGTAAACCTCGTATGCTCAGTAAACTGTAACAAATTAGGAAATTAAAAAAGGGTCTTAAAATCTCTTATTGTTTTGGTAAGATGACGATGAACAGTGACAATCACTATGAATTAAATCAAGGTAAATTTAAAGCAAATAAATTACAAGATGTTTATAAAACATATGAAATAAACTGACAGAAACGACGAATATTTTCAAAACATAACATATTATAAACAACGCAGAAAAAAGTTAAAACGCGGTAAAATTTTCATTTCTGAAAACCGACTGCTCATCATAACTCCCTTTCATTTGCGTCCAAAACGTCGTCAAATTATAATTGTTTAAAAATAATGAGAAAACATGAATTTCTAAGTTATTCAGGACAATGTATTAAGTTATCATCGACGTCATAATTTGGCAGCTTACTTTTTTCCTTGTAGCCATATTGCTTTCTGTGTCAACAAACTGACAGTTCTCAAGCTTTTGTTTCTTATTTTAAAAAGAAGCGTTCGGCTTTTTTCTTTTAAATTAATTAATTACCTTTTGTATTTGGAATTATTGGAAATGTATTTATTTACGGAATGTTCTTTATTGTCTGTATCGAATTTTATTTTTAAATTGTTGAAATGTTAAATTTTTACTTCATTTTCTGTTAGGTATTATTTGTAGGATGCCTTATATTATTCACACTTTTTTACGTTATTAATGATTGGATTTTTCCAACACAGATTTTATACACGTAAGCTTTTGTCGTGTAAGATAAAACAGGTATTGACAAATGTTCTGATGGTTGACCTTAACATTATTTATTTTGGATGACTGCCGACCAAATGGTGTCGTTAACGCCATCATTAATATTTGATGAATGGTAACTGTTCGTTGAACACACCTGAACCATGTCCACAATAAATACGTACCTATCGAAACTGAGCCAAATTGCCATCATTTAAATTATTTAACGGCTACATCTTAAGCTTCGAGATTACTGGGATAAATACAGGCTTGACAGTAAATAACATAGGTATCTAAGGAAATTCCTCTGTTATGGATAAATATCTGCATAAACATATTGTTCAATTGAAGTCTTGCCACAATTTGTAACCCTATTTGTATCACTCTTAAAGCTTAGCTAGCTTACTGCGTAGAAGTACTTAGTTGCCGTTTTTTTTTTCAGTTCTGCTTCATTTCTCACCAATGTATTGATATTATTTTCATTGGAAAACCAACCCTTAAACTCCACGTCATTCTCAAACCGCTCATCTTTCCAAAATCCATCAGCTTTAGCGTGAATCACGGCTACTATTAGAATGTGTGCACTCAAGTGCGCAATAAACAGCTCGTAAGACAATCATTCATTGTGGAAATGCACATCTGGAACTTGAACACCAAATACATCATCATCACGTCCAATTATTCCCAGATGTCCGCCTGCAGCAGCTGGTGCCAGCGCTCCACTGTTAGGTGTTTAGTCAAAACTGCCAACAACTTGTCCAGTTGATTTGTCAGGATTTAAGACCTGCTTTCGAATGATAGATGGTTGATTTCATGACGAGTTGGTTGTCTATGTTTGGGATTAATGTTGCTTATTTGGAAATACGTTAGAAAACGTTGTCAGTAAATGTGTAGTAGAAAATAAGAATGAATGAAGATTGCTGCCTCACAGCTTTGTCGTAATGTTGTAAGATCTGGTGATACCGTCAATGCATTTGCCTACCAAATGCATTGGCGGTTGTGGTTTACATTCTTCGACTAACCAAATCGTTCCAGTTTTCTATCTACTATATAAAAATTAAGTCGGGGTTTCCTTCCTGACGCTATAACTCCAGAATGCATGGACCGATTTCCACGGTATTGCATTCGTTGGAAAGGTCTCAGGCTCCGTGAGGTTCGTAGCAAATTCAGGTTATTTTTTTATTATTTTTCATATTTTAATCACCAAACGAAATGTTACATAAAACGAAGCCATCTGGTGGCGAAACGGAGTTCGCCGGGTTTGCTAGTTGGGTATAAAAGTCTGGTTTGATTTCTTTGGTTTCCAATTATGATCAATCGTATAATTTTCTATGTACCTTCGATTTTTGTATTGTTTCATTTCAGTTTTCTTCTACACTAGTATCGGTCACTTATTCTCAAGATCACTCCCTTACAGTCTTTTACTAAAATAGTATCAAGGAGGAAATAACAATCAGTAATATGCTTCCTACCTTGACATCTAGCAAATCATGACCTTCCTACACCTGTGTTACCTTTCCATTCACTGATATAGATACTCCCACGTCGCCATCTCTTGGCAGCACAGCGTGGCCGCGCGCTCTCTGCCTGACTCAAGCTCTAGGAAAACACTCTCTAATTTATTATAATGTCTATCATTTAAACCCTCCGTGTGACGTCATAATCGCCAGAGAAGCTGTTGATCGAAATATGTGTCCATTGATCTTGAAAGCTCTAGTTGCTTAGTGTGGGGCTCTCAGAGGTTGAACAATCTTTTGATAATTTTTGAGTTATATTTCCTACTGATAAAAAATATGTGAAAATATTTGAAAAGGATTATTTTAAGAGTTTTATTTCTGTTAACTACTATTAATATAGAACAAAGCAAATAAATTTTTACAACGAAAATAAATAGTATAGGAAACCCACTGGAAAAGTAAAGTACCCAATGGAAAGAATTAATTACGGACGATCTGAGGTCAAGAAACGTCTTATGACAATAAAACAGTATATCGATATTTTCGTGAAAAACTACGTAAAACTAGATGATAAAAAGACCAAATTATGAAATTAAAATGTAATCTTCTTGCACAGGGCCGTGGTACGAGAGTTAGTAGAGACGGAGGAAGAGTTTGGACGCGACATGCAGCAAGTGGTGACGAGGTACATGAAGCCCATCGACAAGGCCACTACGCCCAAAGCAGTCTTCGACAACCGGGAGCTGTTGTTCTCCAACTTCAGACAAATCTGCGAGTTTCATAATACGTGAGTAACTTTCATTAAAATGTGGCCTCACATAAATATAAAGGATAGATCAAAGTTGCGAGTCATGTACTAGGTCTAATTACAGATGACATGCTAGCGCTTAAGTGCTAAGTACATAATAATTTCGAAATTCGTAGACTCACAAAACTCTGCTCAGTCGCAAAAGCTTTAAAGTAACCTAATACAAAAAGCAGGATAACAACTACTTGCTAATAACACGATACCTTCAGTGGTTATGATAAAACAGTATAAATCTTGATAAGCAATATTTTTCCAGTGTATTACTAGAGGGGATAAAATACTACGCCGGCGAACCGAAAATGCTCGGACGAGCACTTCTACGAATGGAGCGAGAATTCGACAAGCACGTCGGCTACTGCCGCGACGAGCCAAGAGCACAGCATCTGCTGGCCACCGATCCCGTGGTCAATAAATACTTCCAGGTGAGTCCATATTTTACATTTCTCAAGTACCTTTATTAATGTCCTCAATTTAATTTTATCCAATAACTGCCATCTATCTTTGTGCTGTAAAAATTTTCCTCAATTTAATTTTATCCAATAACTGCCATCTATCTTTGTGCTGTAAAAATTTGTACAAAACGCCATCTAGCTTGAGAAACAAAACCTAAGCATTCGTAAAGACAACGACATCTATCGTTCATTTTCCGAAACGTCGCGGAAAATCGACCACCATGTTGGATTTTCCGATGAGAAATTGAAAACTTGCCAGAGATGGCGTTACTAGTATCACAATTTTGAACGAAACACATCTATTATTACTTTGGGTTTAGATTGAATCAGTAGAGAATTTCATCTAGCTAATTGCGAAATCGAATCGATCGAAGATGAATACATTGTCTACGAATTAAACACAGTTATTTCTAACTCTCTAATATAAAACTTGTAACATTAGTTCCTAAATTATTGAGATTCCGACTCCGCCTCAACAATTGATCTGTAGGCCCCTCTGTTTGATGGCGTGAAGATAGCCGGGCGCCGGCAGGGAGTTAGGCAATCGGCCAAGAACTAGAATAGTTCGGATGCCACGTCGAGCCGCGGTATGAGTGCTGTCAATTCGAACGCTCATATCGGGGGCAATCACACTATTTGGACTATAAACACGATAATATTAGATGGTTGTCTCGCAAAATGATAAATAGTTAGAATTAATCAGCTGACTTCTTTGGGGCTGTGCAAGATTTCTAGATAGATCTAAAATGTAAGAGATTTTATTGACTACACTGGAACAGGTCTCATAAAATAGTACTTGAGAGAAGTGCCTCGCCGTTTTTCATTAATTAGAGATTAACACTACATTCAGACTTGCTGTTTACCTCGCCTCGATAAAATATGAAGAGTCTTCTTATGTAAAGTCTTATGATAGGTCTTATATAGTCTGTCTTATCGAAGATTCTTAATAATGATTAGTGACATGAATTCGTGGATTAGGATACCATAGAATTGTACCTTATATGGGAATAGAGATTATTTAAATAGATCCACTGTCATTTATTGATAAAACAGACATGAATTGATAAAAGTTATTACATCATAACATCACGCCTTTTATCCCCGAAGGGGTAGGCAGAGGTGTACGTTATGCCACTGTACAATGTAACACCCACTTTTCACTATTTATGTTATGAGTCCCAGAGCACAATTTCCAGACCCCGTGCTACTACTGAGAATTTTTTTAAACCCAGTAATACTTTGTCCGATCAGGGAATCGAACCCGAGACCCCTTGCCCGGCAATCGCACTTGCGACTATTCGGCCAACGAGGCAGTTATATTTTACACAAAAGAATGTATTTTTCATAAAATTCGTTCTTTTAACATGTTTCAAGCTAACAGGCAGTTAAGACGTGATAAACAAAAATGGTTTACGTCAGAACTCAGTTATTGAGGTGCGGAATGAAGACACTCAACAAACTACGTAACGATTACGTTGAAATAACGTAGTTGGACAGATTTTTCGAGATTTTTAAAAAAATGACGCTACACTGTACAGTTTTTTTTATAACTAAAAGCTATTTGACGTAAATCGTTATGATCTCACAGATTGTTATTTCAAACGTAAATTGAAAAAGTTGATGAAATATTCATGTTTTAGTATTTGACATTTGAAATTATATAGGTACTTATTGATTTAGCGCAGCATTTCTCGAACTAGGATCAGAAACATAACACAATGGGTATTTTCAGAGATCCGCATTATAATGAACATACTGTTTAGCTGTACTAGCGGAACTAATATAAATATTGTAAAAATCGAACGTGGGTTTGTTAGAAAAGTTGAATCGGAAAAGTTGAAACTTTTAGAAAAAGTTGTGTTTTATACTGATCAGCTTTCCTATTCTTTAAATGTTTCAAACTTTCGAAATGAGCTCGATTGCATTCTCGCCCGTCATTGGTCGAGTCGAGATTGTTCTCACAGCCAATGATATGGCGCACTGAGATCAAGTTTTCTTCGATCTTTCCAATTGAAAGTTACAGAATAAGTTAGCAATTTACCTACATCTATGTAAGTATTACACCTTTTTTTTTGAGGGGGAAAATCATCCAATGACTTCTCCCGCCTGTATTACACCTACATAATTTTTATTTCATTTAACAAAACATCATCGTTCTTTTATCTGACTGACTGGTCTGATCTTTCTGACTGGATTTAGGTGTTGCATTGTCACATAATCGAACCAATAAAACTATGTAACTAGAGAATTGTATTGTAAACCTGATTGAAAAAGAGTAACCTATGGAGTTTCTTGCTCGTTCTTCTCCATAGGAATCTACGTCGGAATGAGCAACTAGCTTCACTTATAAATTTTGTTGTTTGACGTTCAAAAGTGCCATCCTGATCTAATTGAAATAAATGATTTTGACTTTGACTTTGACTTTATCAACTTTATTCCGGCACATAAAATTATAAAACCATGGCAGACGAATCCTTGCCCCAATTAGCGCACACTAATAAAGAACAACTGAAAATTCGGAAAACAATATACCTACCTACCTTTGCTACGGTTTTCGACGCTCGTTAAAACAGATATGGCGGTTGCCAAATACGTAATCAACTTCTGAGGTAAAACTGCACTGTTTACATAGTCTTGTGGATTTATGCCAAGCGTGGTAGTATGTTAGCGTAGCTATGTTCGACTTTGACTTTTCTAAACGCAATTAGAACGACATTGATTCAATATGAGAGGAATGTGATTTACATAATTTCACATTTGTTCGTTTAGCTATAAAAACATGTCTTTAGAGTGATTGCCAAGATCTGTTATTGGGTCAGGCGATGCTTGTAGATATTCTTAAAACTAATCACTGTTTAACTAAATGATGTTAATATTTTGTTATGGTTCGTTTGACATGATTAATTAGAAAGCTGAAATCTAATTTCCAATTAATATTATGTTCAAAGGGAATGAAGCCTTACCCTCATAGCTGATGTTTAACAGGCTATTAGCTCTGAATCTCTGTGAACTGACTGACAATCTCAATCATATCACTCAAATCGCGAGATACATATAGATTCTCCACTGAAAAAAAATAATATTATTGTTTTTGAAATAACCAATAGGGTAGGTTCCTAAATTTTATTTTAATATCCGTGTGGTACATGAAGTTAAAACTTTAGACACGTATTTTTTCTTTTCTCACAAAATTAAATACTTTTGACGATATATTAATTTGAAATATCGTGTGACGTCACAGCGTGCCACAAATTTTAGCACGTTATGACGTAACAACCATTTTATCTAAGTATTGCAACACGAGAATATAAAAAATACGAGTTTAATATTTTTTCATTATCTAACTGACGGACTAATTAGATCTTTAATTTCGATACCCTGGAAACTACCCAATTACATAAGTGTTCAAGTAAACAGGAAATGAGGGGGAGGCACTCACATTCGTATGCAGAATACAGATATTTCTCGAACGATCGCATCCTACGACCATTTATATTTCAATCAATACTAACAGTTTTCTTTTTTATATTTGATGCGCCAACATTTTATCACTATCTCGCCTGGTGGTAAGCGAAGATGCGGTCTACGATGGAGCACGTCGTCCCATAAGCAACCTATTCACTCGGGCCTTGAAAAGTTATTTAACAGGTCTCAAACGAATCATTTCAAATGCCCCACCTATGAGTATTTAGTCAAAATAAGCATCGGTATAAAATCCTACGCAACTGAAACTCGTCATGATTGAGTCAATCCCCGAAATAATGTAACGGCTGATTTTATTCTCATGTGTCTGTCTACGCTGGCTGTGTGATTTTAAGTCAGCTATAGTCATAGGATATAGTGACGAATCCCCTCTTACTAATTGTACTGAATTGATTTTGAGAATGACTGATGAGAGTGATATTTTTGGTTATAATAAGAATGAATATCTGTTAAAAAGCTTATCGTAAATGCATTAATTTCTAAAGTAATAGTAGTAGTAGTAGCGTCCATTAGTGTGGGAGAGACATGTTTCGGCACGAATGAGGAGTGATACCACGGCCTCACAGAAAACCGACGTGAAGCAACGCTTGCGTTGTGTTTCGTCGTATGAGTGATGTTACTGCAGGCCCAATTACCCTCCCCTTCCCCAATCTCCCCAATCCCTGAATCCCCATCGATCCTCAAACTCCTAATCCCCAAAAAGCCGGTAACGCAGTTGTAACGCCTCTGGTGTTCCGGGTGTCCATGGGCGACGCACATTGCTTACCATCAGGTGATCCGTCTGCTCGTTTACCGGCTTATACCATAAAAAAGTAGGTATTTCACCATCAGATAGATTACACACACATTTATCTAATAGCTAGGAAAAGAACTCGGTCAATTAAATATGTGAAGTTCAACTCCCAATCCCATCAACATTTCATTATCATTTGTTACAAATAAATATTCTTATGTGGAAGTATAAAAACCTTGCTATGAAAAATGTAATTAGAGAAACCAAAGTCCTCAGAAATGCAGGTACAGAACTTCAGGCCATGAAACTGAACAAGTTTTGTTATAGAATTTTTATCTCTAATCTCCTTGGATTTAAAATACAAACTTGCTAAGCCATGAATGACTCCGCACATTAAAACAATGCAAGTCACCAATTGCATCTACAAATATAGTTTTCTAGATAGTTAGGTGATGTCTCTAATATGAATTCTACAACATTGAAATGCAGCCAAAGTAGACACCATGAAGACAGAGGGCTTCCAAATCCCGCTATCAATAATTTGGACATCTCATTTAAAGCTTGTTATTATTCACATTGCTTTAATTCTATGCCCTAACATTGCACGTCTGGTGCACAAATAGATGCGCTCTCCGTGGGTGTCAGACGACTGTAAAGTCCGGAAAACAGACAGCTACATTTGTCCACTTAAACGAATTAATTTAACGAATAAACATATATTTACAGTAGTCTGTAGTTCACTGACCTCGCTATCACCTTCTAGAGGTATGTAATGGTTACTCTAGAAATACCTAAAACTCGGTGATAATTAGGTATCATCAACAGCCTATAAATGCCCACTGCTGAGCAAAGCCTCTTCTCACACGGAGAAGGTTAGAGCATTAATCACCACGCTTGCTCAATGCGGGTTGGCGATTTCAAACTTATAATTAGAAATTATAAGTCCAGGTTTCCTCACGATGTTTTTCCTTCACCGTTTGTCAGTGGTGTCTAAATAATCTTACAAAGTACATATAACTCGGAAAAAGTCACATTGGTACTTGCCGTTGGTAGGTTTCGAACCCGCACCCTCATGCATGAGAAGTGGGCGTCTTAAACCTCCGGGCCACCACGACTTATTAGGTAGATATTTAGATAATTAGGATAATTGATTAGATAATTAGGTATATTCAAGGCAAAATAAATATACATAACGCAACTTTCAGTCGAATTTTCCTTCGCTAATATCTACTGGATAATTCAATGGATCCATGAATCTTTGTTATTCATATGGGGTAACGTCTACTAAAGTAACGTACCCACGCACCTACCTATTAATTTTAACTATCGTATTTATGGGGCTCTTTCAGTAAATCTATAAATCTGGAACACATAAAACTACTATTTGTATTTTACTAGAACATAGAAGCTTTTGTGGTTTCTCGAAGACATTACACTTACGTACATATAGATATTATTTTCATGATTTCAGTTTGAATCCTTATTACTGTACTTTTAAGCGATAAAAAGTCGAGGGTATAATCAATTCAAAATTCTAAAACAATGATTCAAGTGCAATAAAGTACCCATTTGGTCACTTGTGTAAAGTCCTTTTCTTTCCTTATGCTAGCTACACACCCTCTTTTAAAGCAAAGTTCTTTAATTGCTTCCGAACGAATTGCTACACAAAAATCTAGAAGACATTTCTATACTCTCCGTAATGAAAGAATTGAAGTATTTGCTTGTCCATTTAGCTAAACCTAAATTGTTGAATGCTGTTATAATGTGCCGGACATCCGAGTCGGTGCAGCAGCGACATGCACGTGTTGTGTTGTTATCAAGGATGGCTCAAGGTTTGTTTGTCGACCTTGCCCACCGGAGCGGTCCCGTGTTCCCCGGCAGATAACACGTCACCGGTGAAATGGCGTTATCCTCTAAAAATCATCGAGTGTGCGGGTGTGCTATGTTTAGCGGGCGCTGAGCACAGGGCCAGCAGCTCAGCAGTCGCTTGGAAGACGCGGACGCGACCACCTCGCTCGCTCCAGCGCATGTACGACCCTCGACCACTCGCCCGAGTGAAGTGTGTGACTGTGATTGTGTACTCGTGATACCTGCGCCGACCACGCGCTCAGGTACGACTTACCATGCAATTACCGATGGACGCTTTATTATTAGACCGGCTGTGGGCTGTGGGCTGTGGCGAAAATACCGCGATTTTTCCCCTGTTTCAATGTTACGGGTGTAGTGTTACCAGCAACGCGTCTGGTTTATTTCTAGTGCGGCGTGGGTGGATGAGTTTCGCGGCAATGTTATATTTTTCTTGTCCGGCGCGCTGTGTGCACGGTGGAGCGGCGCGCGCGCAGGATCTGTGTTAAAGCTGCGCGGGATGACCTTGACCCAATTCTCACATATGTTTTTAGGGATTAGCAGTGCTAATTATACCTTGGACTTGCATCGCAGTCGCAGTACTGTTTACATGTGATGCATTCTAACTGCTACGAGTAATGTGACCTCTTCACACTGTCAAGGATATAAAAACATGTCTAGGGAATCTTTTTGTTTACAAGTTTACTAAATGGCATCTTAATATACTCGAATCAAAATAAACTGGTTGCCAAGCAATCTTGTTATTGGCGCAGTGTTGCGCAAACATCGAACCGATTAGTTTCAGTAACTAACTGTTATAAACAGCTCCATACCTAAATACTGAACCAAGAACAGTGTATGTATGTACCAACTCATGTTACATTTTGTTTTTATTTGTGAAAAAGTTTTCCTTAAAATTTAATACATACATACATACATAACATCACGCCTGTCTCCCATGGCATGGCAGAGACTAAGAAACGCCAATTACTACGATTCCTACATACCTTTTTCGCTTCATCAACATTAAATTTAATTTTATTATTAAAATTTTTATAATAGTGAATTTTACGAGATTATTTTGACAAGATTTCCCTTTCAAAAAAACATCAAAGAGTAAACGAATACCAACAAAATATACCTAATACAAAACACACGAGTTTCCAAACTCTATAACCTTGTGCTAAATATTTATCGCGAATATTCTTTTTTTTTCGTAAGTACAGCAAGCAAGTCTTGTCACAAGTCACAATGCGTTTCACATCATTGTAATACCGATGGACCATTTCAAGTTGTCAAGACGAAAAAAAAAAACAACTAATATTTTCTTTTTTAAATGTGTTCCATCGTCCCAATGAATTGAAATAGGATTGTAAACTCTACAATGTTGAAATAAAGCGTATACTCGCGTGCAATAAGATCAATGAACGAATGTATTATAGGTACAGTCATTGCCCTAATTATTTATAGAGAGATAGTTATTACGACATCTCAATTTTTTACGCTAATCCCGGACTATTCACTTCCAACAATCAGTTAGATGATTCTACAAGCTTAGCGAAAATATAAAGAAAAGCAAGTGGAAATTATCTGTCTTCATTATTTAGCAATAAAATAACGTTTTATGGTCGAAAATGATTTTGCAGTTACGTCAAGTACTACTTATAATTTACAAATTAAAATTACAATTGTAATGTATGTACAATATTATCTATTAACTATTACCAACCTGTATCCATAATGAATCAAACGTAACTATAACCATACATAAGATATTAGTTGATGAGTGAAAAACCGTTTGAATTGTTATCTAAACAATACTGTACATGTTGGCTAGTTTCGTAAAACAGTGAGCTTTGAACTGTTGTATAGTCTTATTAAATTCAAAGTCAAAGCATTCATTTCAATTAAACCATAATTTGGTACTTTTGAAACGTCAAAAAGTACAAAATAAATAATAGTCTGTCAGACAGTCCGTCAGTGAAGCTAGGTGAAGCTAGATGCTCATTCCAAAATGTAGAGTAGAATGAAGAAGAACGATCAAGAAATTCCGTTCGTTACTCTTTAAAAAAAAGTTTGTTCTACAATGTCTCTGATATATTAAAATTAAAAATAAAAATTTAAATTTATTTATTGGCATACACAAGTTAGATTACGTACATGTAGACATGGAAGCGAACAGCATTCATATAAACGCAAATAGGTACGGCAGAGGTGCCCGTGGGCACCAAACTAGGCACAGCCTGTATCTTGGCCTATATATTCCAATACTGTACGTATATGTGAGAACAATGCAAAGACAAGCTTGACGCATTATACAAATCTTATAGTCTAACATGGTGCCCACATATGCATACTGACAACGAGTTAAAATAATTACTAAAATATTAATTTAACAAAGCTACTATGGGCTATACATGAAATACTATGTATAATAAATGAAACATCAGCTGTTAGAGTCGTAAATTGCGCACAACGTAAAGTTTAATTCCTTGGTATGAGGAAGACGCATTTAAATCTGCTTTCAATATTAACTAACGGTGAGCTTCTGCACTAATATAAATTAAAATAGACATTTATTTCATATGGTCCTATTGTTCCTCCTATTTTATAGATGTTCCTCCTGTTTATTTCTCTTATTTTATGTTCAAAAACGCGATACTCACCGTGGTTGTGGATAGAGAAATAATGAGAAAGAGGAAGACTACAAACAAAATCGATACATAAACAATACAATATACCTTATCCACATACTTAGTAAAAAGATAAAAATTCGTTAAAATACGCCAGTGTTTTTACAAAACAAACACAACAATCAATGCAAAGGAAATCGTTTACCCAAATATTTCGTTTCAAATCGATAAATATTACTGAAATTCTGTAATAAAAGTGAACGGAAACATCTAAATTTTGCTTTCCGTTCCTATTTTCCAGTTTAATATATCATATTGCTGCAGATTCTGTGTTAGGTAAGCAGTACACGTAGCTAGCTCAATGTGTCAAGGTGGCCCAAATATATTCCCCGACTTGTAGCGTGCGTCCGGGCGCCCCGTTATGATTTATAGCCGATTCCAGTATTACTTAAATTGTTCAATTTGTAATGGATTGCAGTTAAATATCGATTTCTTTACAATGCATAGTATAAAAGATATGTTTGTTACCAGAAATGTGCACATAGATAATATAAACAAAGTGAAAATTCTTCTAAAGATTAAAATTCTGAAGTGCGTAGCTTTTCTCCCGTGCCCTTTTCCGAAATGTCTAAGCGCAATGTTACCCGACAATTATAGGTAAAAAGCAATAACATCGCTTTTAAAATTAGACAGTTCAAAAAAACGAAACTAACTACTGGCTATTGGCTCCTAGCAGGTAATAAAAAGGACCAATTTTCCTGGTATACCAAGCTGACGTCTAAAATCGATAATACCAAAGTAAGTATTTGCGACTACCAAAGACGTTCACCATGATAATAACAGATGCTCTCCATGTGTTGTTGATCTTCACTTTCGTTACTGACGTCACAACCAGCTCTGTTTACCACACAATATTTATCGAACTGTTTCAGCTTATAGGAATTTAGTTTACCTAGTTCTCATCTTGGAGTTACGCACGATAGGTAACGAGGCAGGCTTCAATTTTCTTTTATATTTGCCTTCGGTGTTGTACCGATTGTGGCAATTTAGATTATTACTTCAGATCCAGATTCTTCTCAGTTTTGTAAGCCAACACTTATATTATTATGTCTCCTGTCTTTCCCCATATAGATTATTTATAAAATATAAAATTACTAAGTGCAACACTATTGATTCAAAATACCTGTATGACTAGGTACTGATTGTGATGACTCACATGAATTGTATCTCTATAACGTCTGCTTAACGTCTTCATAAACCATCATATATAAATTGTTTCTAACTGTAGTCTGCCAACGCAATCATTTATAAGAATTATAATATAATATCATATCTAGATTTAAGTGTGGGAGAGCCATGCTTCGGCACGATTGGGCTGGCTCGATCGGAGCGATACCACGGCCACACAGAAAAGCGACGTGAAATTACGCTCGCGTTGTGTTTCGTCGTGGAGGCCACGAATCCCCCAAAATACTCAAATTCCCAATCCCCAAAAGGCCGGTAACGCACTTGACACGCCTCTGGTGTTTCAGGTGTCAATGGGCGGCGCCGATTGTTAACCATCAGGTGAACGTTTACCAGCTTATCTCATAAAAAAATGGTAGATTGTCTACTGATCATTCATTATCTTCAGATAAACACTACACTGAACGCAATCCTAAACCAATTTTAATACGATAACTCAATGGTAACTCAATAGTTAATAGCTCTTAAAATACCAATTAACCGACATCATTCTGCACATATAATTGAAAGTAAATTTTACAAAGAATAGTTGCGATGGGCAGTAATTGCAACACGGTGTACAGTCGATGTCGCGTTTGATTGGCTGCCAACACTGAGGGACAATTAGCTCGACATCCAACGAATGTTCCCTACACTCGACGAATTAATCATGCACGTTCGATTTGATTAGACTATTAGATGTATTGGTTTTTTAATTTAATCGTATCCTAATATTCTTGTCGCGGAGAACCTAACGGGTAACCGGGGCTCCGGCTCGACGTGCAGGAGAAGGAACGGGGTGGTTTTTAGTCAGTAAGAGTCTGACACTCCCTCCCCCCTCACCCAGGCGGGAGCAGTCATTCGATGATTTTCCCCCCCTTAAAAAAAATCCTAATATTCTTAATCAATAACCTACATTGCAACATTCCTCTGGTGGTACCTACTTAAAGCACAGATCTTCTATATAAGAATTCAAAAAGAACGAAAGCTATTCTGATGTCTGTGGTCCACGCTGTCTATACAAATCATATAAGATCTTTGCTTGTTGATATAGTCTGTGGAAAAGGCGACGATTTTCGATATACTGTCTTTTTTAATCAGAAGTTGAAAGCTTATTTTTAAAAGCGTCGAAATATGACTTAAAGTTAACAATGTTATTTGCAATTAAAGATTTTTTATTTATATAACTTGAAAGATCAAACTCTTAAAGATTTGAACTGATGTTTTATTTATATACGTATTCATTCGTATATATAAATAAAAAATCAGTTCAAATCTTTTCTGATATAGTTCTTTCATAGATTGCATGACCAATCAATTTGCCTATGTCAACCTCCTTCAGTTAGATAACGACCCAGAAAGCAGTTATTAATGTTCCCCATTAAATGTCGTCACAAGGCCAACGGTGGGAACATTTAAAAATAAACATTTATATTTAATTTTATCGTCCGCACGAGATTCATGGAGAAATGGAATGATGTTCTTAAAATAACGAGACGTGATCTATGTATTATTGTTTTGTTTTCTAACCAAATGTTAAATAATGGCGGCTGGATGAGCGGAGATAGAAATTTAACGTCTTATTGTTGTAGTTTCAATAAATATGACGATCACGACAATATTTATGAAAGTCGTATACTTTTATTAATAATAATAAAAATTATTATCCTTTTCGACTTACTCACGTAATTATTTGACGAGGAACTCGACTAGTTTCAAGCCATACTAGAGGCTCATATCACCACTGTCGACAGCAGCGCGACAGTCGCCGCGTCGCGGGTCGCGGAATGCTGCTCATGAACATTATATCTAAATTGATTTAGTATGTCTTACGAAAGTTCTAACATAAATATTAATAATGCCAATAACTGCGAATTTTATTTAAAGTTTTTCTAAAATTTAGTCACAGACCTATCCTAGGTACTCGTTGAAATACAAAGAAAATTTTAATGTAGAGAAAAAGGGGTAAAAGTATAATAAAAATACTAAATATATATCTTTGTGGTCTTGTAAACATGGTTTGGGTAATGCTCATCGATTCATGTCGGATACTGCAGCATAAACCTGTGTAATATTATCTGGCCAGGCTAAACTGAGAGTTGATTGATTGATTAACATGGCACGACCAGACGAGAGGATGTTTGTGCAAAACTTCAAGCAAAACAGTTTTGTACAGTGATTGTACCATCTTCATTATATTCTCTACAAATGCCTTAGTTAAACCTTATTTATATCCCATTGTTAAGTACTTGGTACACATTTAGTATCTCTAGTCTAGTTCATGTTCACGAACACTTTTGGCAAACATCTTGACATTTTTATCGTTTTCTGTAATGTCGCCAAATTGTGGATTTTTAATAGTTTTCGTTTACGTTGGTAATTAATATATTAAAGGTTTTATGCATATTTCTATCATATAAAATGTTTGTCAACAGGATTTAGCAGATAGCCTACGTGACGACAAAGGTATCTCCGAACATCTGAAGCTTCCAATCCAAAGAATCAACGACTACCAACTACTGCTGAAGGTATGTGTTATCAATTATATCATATAGTATACTAGCGGACCCAACAGACGTTGTCCTGCATATCCACTTGAATGTATAAACAAAAATTCATTCAAATTAGTTCAGCTGTTTAGGATAAATAACCTAAACATCGACTGCAGCGCCATCTCCCGGGCTGATTTGTGAATCTAAACCATTCCCAGATTAAACAAAGAAAATAACAGCTGTTTCTCTTAATAAACTCCAAATACGTACATCATAGATAAGTTCACCTTAAACTATTTAGGAACCGGAACTGGAACTCGATTTAAACGTGATTGAATCAAACTACACGTACTTGACTTCAGTAATGACGTGTTTCCCCTCCTCATTTTTATCTTTTTTTCTTTAGGAATTAGTGAAATACTCAAAAAGGCTAGGTGAAGATTGCTCCGACCTCCAGAAGGCATTAGAACTCTTCCTCAGTGTCCCGAACCGAGCCACTGACAACAAGTTCATCGCGAGCATCGAAGGGTTCCGTGGTAACATCTACAAGCTCGGTCGACTGCTCACCCACGACTGGTTCACTGTCTCTGATACTGAGGGCAAGTCCAGGGAGAGGTACGTGTTCCTCTTCAAGGCCCGTGTCCTCATCTGCAAGGTCAAGAAAGTCGGAGACGATCGCTCAGTCTTCGTGCTTAAGGATATTGTCAAGGTTTGTATTTCTTTCTTTTTGTATTTGTATTTTCGAATTTATAAGTACCAAGGTTGTGCTCATTAGTCAATCAGATTTTTATTCAAACATTAGTCTGTTAGATGGTCTGCTAGATGGTTGTTAGAATCAGTTTGCATGTAACGACGTAACACTCGTGGACCTCGTTCATGACAAAACTGTAGTTATACATTTAATACAACCGTTTCCCTGAACCAGCCTACACGTTCTAACTATATCCCCATTCATTGCCGGCTGCCGGCACACGCTCTTGAATACAACCCCCAAAAATAGGTCAATTCAAAGAACCAACCATTTGGAAATACTCCAGAATCGCGTCTGGAATGTGCGAGTATTGTGTAGTTCCTTTGTTATTGCTAATTAAACTTTCGTCTAGTTAATAAGACTCAAATACTTGCACAGGAGACATTGACACCGTGTCATTGAAATAGCAGCTGACGCCATTGAAACGTTTAAAAGTGTTTCGCTATTTCTGAGCGAGGCGAGCTCACCACATCTCACATTTTTGATATAAAATTCAATTTTCTACTACGTTGCACAATATTATTTGACATTACAAGGCTGTTTTATAATAATGCGCGTAGTATCCAAGAACATACTTTTTCGTGAGATTTAGGTAGGTCAAATCAGTTTGCTTCTCTCGTTCTTATAACATATAGCTAGATACTTCGAAAGAAACAAAATGAATTGTTTTTGATAAAGTACTTCATAAACAATCTTTGCCCCTAGCTACCGGAGGCTGAAATCAAGGAAAATCCTGCTGAGCCCCTAAAGTTCACACTCTGCCAGAAAGACCCGCCGCTAACTGTCACACTAGCTGCTCACAAGGAGCAAGTCAAAACCAATTGGCTCGCTGAAATCAGAAAACACGCTAGTGACCTCGGTAAGACATATTTTGTGGTATTAATTTACTATGACATCATTTCTCAAACAAATATACTATACAGATACTTTGTCCTTTCAGTCGCCTTAGCCGAGCACGCAGCAGACGACCTCCAGGTACTACCACCTGAAGGCGTTCCAGCAGAACCTGAGGAGAAGAAGAAGAAGAGAGATCACGCTGAAGTTGCACAAGCAGAAGCAGTAGATACCAAAGAAAAACGCTCACGCGTTGAAGAAACTACTCAATTAGCAACTACAGAAGAGGCTCAACAAATTAAAACAAAGAGGAAAGCATCAATAGAAAGTGAGGTCGCGACTAAAATCTCTAAGTCTGAAGTTACCGAGGTATCTTCAGTCAGCGAGACACAACAATCCGTCAAAGTCAGCTCAGTCAGTGAAAGCTCTAAAGTCACTGAGAAAACCGCGTCTGTTTCACAATCAGAGCAAACTAGTCAAGTTACTGTAGTCGCCGCTGCATCAGAAGTAAAGGTAGCGCAAGCGACATCCGTGCAGTCGACGCAACAGACATCTGTACAGAGCTCCACTGTTCAACAATCTTCTCAGCAGAGCTCAGTACAAGCAAGCTCTCAAAAGACATCAGTCACTGAACAGTCTACTGCACAATCAATTGAAAGTAGTACACAAGTTGCTCAAATATCATCATCTCAAGCAACCAGTGTTGAATCAAAAACACAAGAAGCTACATCTATACAGCAAACTTCGTCTGTTGAACAATCTAGTAAGCAAGCAACAGCTACTGAATACAAGACACAAGCATCGGTGAAGGAGACAACAGTTGAGGCAACTGTTGTAGCGTCCCAACAATCCACTAATGTACAAGAAGTAACCACACAACAATCTGTAGTAGAAGAAACTAAGGAACGTACAGTAGAACAGGTTAGTTCCACTGGCGCCGAGTCTACGGAGCAAGCATCTGGTATCGGTCAAACTGTAACCACAGAGGAAGTTGGGGACGACGAGATGTCTAGGTATAGCCGCAGTACGCGGCTCTCTGGAGGTAAATATTTCTTAATTTTATTTATCTGATTAATTATAATTGTGGACTATAATATAATTGCAAATTAATTGTTAATTTTACAGAGTACTCCAGTAGCAGCCGAAAATTATCAAGTGGAGGTCGCTACGAGTCATCGTCTACATACGATGGTAGTGGACTGACTTCCTCCTACTCGCGACGTGAGAGCGGCTCACGTCTGGAGTCCTCCAAATACGAGTCAGGAGGTGCAATCGAAGGAGCTGCAAGTTCCCGCTACGAATCAAAGTACTCCTCGAAAACTGAAGGAGGATCTAAGTATGGAATTGAGTCCAGCTACGAAAGCAAAACTGAATCTGGTTCCAAGTACGGAATCGAGTACGACAGTGCTAGCAAGATCGACAGCATCGCATCCAAGTACGGCATTGAATCCAACGTAGAGAGCAAATCTGAACGATCTGCTTATGCCATCGAGGGTGACAGTGCTAGCAAAATTGACAGCATTGCCTCAAAATACGCATCAAAGAGAAACAGCATCAAATCTAGCGTTGAAGGTGGCAAGGTCGAGTCAAGTCTGGAAGCCAAATATGAAAGCAAGGTAGAAAGCTCTGCTTACGGAATTGAGTCCGATACCACAAGCAAAATTGACAGCATCGCGTCCAAGTACGCTTCGAAGAGAAATAGCATCAAAGCTAGCATTGAAGGAGACAAGGTCGAGTCTATTTCGTCCACGACTGAGAGTAGCTACGAGACTGTAAAGAACGGAGACTCGTCTTACGAGAGCAAGTACTCCAAGAAGTCTATCGCCAACGGCTCAGTGAGCACTGGCTATGAAACAGCGAGGTCCATCTCTAAATCTGAATCTCAAGATGGGAAGCCAGTATTCTCGAAAACTTTAGAAGGCCAGAACATTGAGCGTAAGTAGTGCACCCGAGAGTAGAACACGTCACATAGAAGTAGAAACACTATTAGTGCTTGTACATAACGCTTGTAGATCATTAACGTACACTACACATTACTTTAACAACGCTTTGTACATTCAGAACATTCGTTCCTGTCCATTGTGTAAGAGTTCGAACGGTATTCGCGGTTCAAGGCAAGAATTTCACTAAAAGATCACTCGACGAAAACAAGACATAAAAGTCTCAGTGATCATATAAAAAAGTTAAAAAAACAAAGGTAGCCGAATCCGTACGAACTCTCCCTGTAACCATACTCTGACTCCTCAGCTGGTGAAAACGCAATCTTCGAATGTCTTCTGCGTGAGTCCAAGGACGTGAAGGTGACGTGGCTGAAGGACAACAAGCCTCTGACGGACCGACTCATGGACCGCTGCTCCATCTCCCTGGAGGACGACGGGGGATTCAAACTGGAACTGAAGCATTGCAGGGAGTCTGACGCGGGAGTATACACCGCCATCGCAGAGAATGTCAAGGGAAATGCCCATTGTACCGCACAGTTAGTCGTGCAGGAGTGTGAGTCGCATTTTACTTTATTACTATGAGATTGGGAAAATACATAATGTGCATTTATACCTGTAAGTATAGGTTACAGTCTCTAGACTATGAAATACCTAATTATCACAATTTTCCATTTAAAGTTATTATACCTACATTGTATTTTCTCAAACTCAATCGATAACATATGAAACACTATTATAATGACAGTTACCTACAGTTTACTATTTGATCAAATTGATCCCCTCTGTATGCGCATGCTCATCGCGATCATTGATTAAGACATTGTAAGGCGTATAACACGTAGTTTGAAATCTGATCCGTTCTCTATTTAATTTTCCTGTATTTTGCACTTATTTCGATATTGTTGTACACACGTATTTACTTACAATAACATTAATAATATTAATTTTTATAATCCACCATTTGAGGCAAATTATCCCAAAATTGTTTAATCTCGATAGATAGGTACTCAATGTTATTTAATGGTAACTTACAACTACACTGACTATACTTAAATAATGTCAATAACTCGATCTTGACAAACTTTAATTAGGTAATTAAAACCAAACTTTGTAAATTATTAACTTGATAACAACAAAAGTTTTGTAAATACCTCTTGGAAACAAATAAAACTTCTGATATTTACAACAGTATTTAAGCACAAAATTAAATCCTTCGAAAACTTACTTATAATACACAAAATTAAGTAAACCTTTGGCACTTTCTTAATAACTATAGGTACTTTCTTGCAATCAAAATGTAAATAAATACTAAGACAAACCTGCCTCAAATGGTCCCCTATCCTTCTAGACATAATACTAACATGTAACACCACACAATTTATAGTGACGGCTGAGGAGCGTCGAGAGAGGAATGCTCTGAAAGCGCCCTACTTCCTCGTGGCGCTGAAGGACACGGAGATCATGGAGAACACCTATCTCCGCTTCATGGTCAAAGTCAAGGGTGACCCTAACCCTGAGGTCAAGTTGTAAGTAGAATGAAATATGTTTGTCAAATTATTTTACCTATACTTTGTTATATCTAAAAGTTAAATCTCTATAGATATGTAGTTATTGTTTTATACCTCGCTAGTCAAATATTAATTTTATTGAATCGAATGTTGCCGTATTTCTTTGTGCAAATAAGATGAAATACCTAAATATTATTGTTTTAAGGTACCTAGTTTTTAATTCTACTCTCAATTTTGATCGCTATATACTGTATCAATTTTTTTCTTTCTTCTATATAGACTAAATATATATATACATTCTTCTTTCTTAAATAGACTGGTTAAAATAAAAATACACAGCGTTTAACTAACAAACTGTTTAAACATAAGTTCTTGTCACACACACACACTTTTACTTCCATTGCACCTTGATCACCACCAATCTCTAATCCCCAGCTACCGCGACGACAAGGAGATCCTCACAACGTCGGAGTCCGACCGAGTGTCCATCATCCGCACGCGCGCCGAGCGAGGATGTTACGAGCTGGTGATAGCGGACGTGCTGCCCTCTGACGCCGGCCGCTACTCCTGCAGGGCCATGAACATCTACGGAGAGGTCACCTCGGAGGCTACTGTCACTGTAGTCGGTGAGGACCTATTGAGTAGAATTCAAACAACACCCCATTTTGTCATAAATGTGACTGAAATAACTTTAGTCTCACCCCCTATTACATGAGACTTATAACATAAATAGTGAAATGTGGGCGTTACATTGTACAGTGGCATTAAGTGCCGTAATGTGCCTATCCCTTCTGGGATAAAAGTCGTGATGTTATGTTATAACTTCAGTCTTATTATGGCTTTTGCTCTAAAACGTGGTAGATAACGATGTGTGATCAATAGTGTCGGTTATAAATCCAATATAGGTAATAGGAGTTGAATGATCCTGATAACTGAAATATTAATTATCCTTTAAACTTATTCTAACTAACGTTTCTAGTTACGTAATTAGTGTTCATAATTATAATTATTATCCAACTTAGGCTTTGTCAAACTGTAAACTTATACGACAGTTTAATATTTAAACCTCGTAGGTAGGTTATATATTCTTATACATATCATAAGTAGCTACATCTTTAAACAACTCATAGCTTGAACACTGATAATTAACTCGAGAACTTTCTCGCACATTCTAATTCTGTTAGATAAAGATCGTATTGAAACATTTTATAAAATGAATCAATCTGTCAATGACAAGTCAAGAAAATATACATGAGAAACGATTCACGGTGCAACTTTCCAGCTGTAGGTTACATCGAATTATATAATAACTTGGAAAACTGCCATACACCCACGAAAACGAACACTTCACGATATAACCAATATCTAAATAAATCTAATCGACATTCCATCACAGTCCTTAATTATATATCCTTAATTATATATGATGCTATATCATCAAAAGTCTCGTAATAAGATGAAGAATTTGTTCCAAAGTACTAAAAATAACTTTGTAATACATTTGTCGAACATTTGGACATCCTCCAGCTGTAGATTATGGATCACTCCGCTATTTATATCGTTTACCCGAATTAGACTGAACTTGTAATACTTTTCTTGTGTTTCACTTACATTGTTTTTCATGTCGTCATTTTATATTTTTTAGAAGTATGCCGTAATTTTATTGCGTTAATTTTTACTTTCAAAAGTATGTATAGGGCACTATCTAGCGACCATTATATTGATGATACATGAGCTTGAATATTAATTGAAATATAGAGTGATGTATGGTAGTTATACCAATATCGATTAATGAGTATTTTTAAATTGATCATTTTTGAAAATATTTTTTTTTCTTATATTTAGATGACAAGAACATCTTCGGCGAACTCCCACCTGGCGGCGAAGGTCTGCTGGCCAAAGGAGAGAAGCCTTCGTTTACATGGAAGAGAGATGGACAGGCTTTCGACCCTGAAGAGAGGTTTAAGGTGTGCACACCGTCTTGTAGTTACCCCATTAAGTAGAAATAGCAAAATACGACGCCTTTTTAAAACATATTAGGCACTTTTTGCATGTTTTCTACTTAAATGAATCATTTAAGTAGAAATCATCATCATCCTAAGATCTGAAAGAAGTGATTGCCTTGTTTATCGCCATGATTTTTTTAAGAAATCTCTTTTAACCTAACATATGGTTTCTACATGAATAAGTAGTTACCTAAATGGTTAACAGTTGAAGTCGAAGTATTTTAATGAAACCTGTTTCTATCCGTCTTGCAGGTGTTGTTAGGTGACGACGAGGACTCCCTAGCGCTGGTGTTCCAGCACGTGAAGCCGGAGGACGCCGGCATATACACCTGCGTCGCCAAGACTAGCACTGGGAACATCTCCTGCTCCGCTGAACTTACTGTGCAAGGTACAATACTTATTACTACGAATATTAAAATTACTTTTGTTCATTACTATTGCTTTGGAACAGAAAAAAAATGGTTTAACTATTCGCCTTCTTAAAATATTAGGTAATAAATGCAACTCAAGGTTAAGGTTAAGCACATTGTTTTTAAAGAAGAGTAACGAATGGAGTTTCTTGCTCGTTCTTCTCCATTCGATACTACAATTTGGAACGAGCGCTTAGCTTCACTGACAGACAAAACGGGCAGTAAATATGTTGACGTTTCAAAGGATTAATTTTTAGGGAACAGAGTGCAAAGTTCCCTGATATCGGAAAAGGAGGATCCTCCAACCAGGCGAGGTGATCGTGCCTGGCGGGCTTTCTGCCCGACAGTTGTTCGTTGGGATTTCTATCCGTGTTAATTTGCATGTAAACTTTTGCATGTGCGATGTAGGATTTTTGTGACGTCATCCGTTGACTTGTGACATGTGTCGCCACAAATTTAATTAAATGCTTTAACTCTGACTTTGAAATAACAGTTCCTGAAATTACATTGTATACTTCCCGTACAGGCGCGGTGCACGAGCTGCACCGTGAGCCGGAGAAGCCGGCGCTGGTCATAGAGCACCGCGAGGCCATCGTGTCCGCCGGCGCGTCCGCCATGCTGGAGCTCGTCTGCAAGGGGTACCCCAAGCCTAACATCGTCTTCAAGCATAAAGGAAAGGACGTTGAGGCCGATACTAGACACAAGTGAGTTTATATTTATGTAATACGCTTAGTATATGCTAAGTTCCTTATCAATCTTATGTAACGCTTTTTCATTAACATAAAATAAGTTATTATTTATTTGATCGTGGTCGCTGATCTTCTTCGATCTCTATCTTGCTTAGATAAATTGCAGAAGCAATATTATAACAAAATACTTAAGTATGGTACTCGATAGCTATGACTGTCAAATTTTGTAATTGAAATACCACAGAAAATAATTAAAATTTAAAACATTACTTACAACAATGTGAAATCACAATTAGCTAGTATACTATCAAATGACTGCCATTTTCTTCATAGTAAAAATTAAGAATTGTAGACTATACCAGTAATCTGATTCACCAAAAAACTGCTAATACACTGTTCCCTCTAGGTTCCTGTATGAGGACGAGGAGTCCATGTCGCTGGTGATAAAGAACGTGACGCAGGCAGACGCGGGCGAGTACCAGGTCACTGCCTCCAACGAGCTGGGAGAGGACACCACCACCATGCATCTAGTCGTCAAGGCAGCGCCTAAGATCAAGAAGAAGATCGAGAACCAGACTTGTATGGTGAGGACACTTGTTTAATTTGCGTATAAGTGTGGGAGAGCCAAGCTTCGGCACGAATGGGCCGGCTCGACCGGAGTGATACCACGGCCGAGCAGAAAACCGACGTGAAGCAACGCTTGCGTTGTGTTTCGTCGTGTGAGTGAGGGTACCGGAGGCCCAATTACCCCACTCCCTAGTCTCCCGAATCCCCGAATCCTCGAGTTCAAAAAGTTACAGACAGACATCTTATCCTCTTTATTAAAATCTGTAGGTGAGCTCCACCCACACAGTAACGATCGAGATAGAAGGAGCACCGGCTCCGGACGTCACCTTCTACAAGGACGGAGTCGAGATCAAGAGCTCGGAGCGGATCACCATCGTGAAGGAGTCCGACGAGGTCTACAAGATCACCATCAAGGACGCCAAGCTTACTGACACTGGATCCTACTCCGTGGTCGCCAAGTAAGTTGTGTTTATATGAAAATTAAAAGCGTCATCTGTTATAGACATGGCTCCTAGGTTTTTATTTTAAAAAGTTACTACGTTTTTTTAGAATTTTGACTTTCTGCGGTGATTTTTCGAAAGCCAATTAAAACAATCATCGCATTACATCAGCTTCCGTAATGTATGACGTATTATAACGCAATGTTTACAATTGGCAAAAGCTCAGCCTGAAGTTAGCATACAGACCAACGATTTTAAGATTAACTTTCATAAAAACTTAAGCCTTTTGATACACAAAACCCTTTCACTCAATAAAGCATCACAAAACACATGAATAACCTGGAAACTTCTCCTAGGAATGAAGTGAACCAGTGCTCGGACTTCTGGCAGTGGCACGTGACGTCACCGCCCAAGGTTATCAAGAAGATGGGAGAGACCAAGGTCTGCGAGGAGAAGGAGACTGTCACCTTCAAGGTCGAGACTGAGTCTGAACCCGCACCCACTGTGTCTTGGTAAGAGTCTTGTATACATTCGCGATAGTAGCTAGGCTGAAAGTGCATTGGTCATTGAATTAAACGCTTGTCTTAAATATGATAATACTATTGTAATTAATGAATTTAAATAGGTATCTAATACGATCCAATAATCGCCTTATTATCGTCGCGTCATCTAGAGTAATTTTTGCATTTCATTTTTTGTTATACAAAAATCCCTTTTATTACTTGCAAAACAAAGATTAGTAATAGTAATAAAGTTTATTTACATATTTATAGGTATAAGAACAAAGTAGAGCTATCAGAGTCATCGACAGTGAAGATCTCGTCAGCCGGGGAGGCGCACTCCCTCGTCATCACATCCGCCGCTAAAGCTGACGCCGGCGAGTACTCCTGCGAGGTAAGGCAATACCTACTTATTACATTTGTATCTACCTTTGCTCCTCTCGCGGGTATCGGAACAGCCTTGTCACATTTGATATCGACTGGGCAGCTTTAAGCGGCAATCTATAACTTGCCTGCTTGGCGTGGATGTTATGGTAAGCCCTATTTAGTTAAAGGGGGTCCATAGTCTAGTGGTTGTTTGTATAGACTGTAGAAGATGATAATGAAGGCCTATAGAGCTATATTTATTGCAGTCTACCTACCAATAAAAACTTAAATATGACCATTTACCATTCAACATTAGTCGTTGTGGCGCAGAGTTTTATAACGCCCGCTTTTCATGCATGACAATGCGTACTTCGAAACCTACCAACAGCAAGTACCAATGTGATTTTACCAAGTCATATGTACCTACTTTCTAAGATTATTTAGACACCACTCACAAACGGTGAAGGAAAACATCATAAGGAGACCTGAACTTATAATTTCCAATTAAAAGTTTGAAGTCGCCAATCCGACACTTATAGGCTGTTGACGATGATGATCCAGCGTTAGGTTCACTCATATATGGTTGTTTAATATATAATCTACACTAATATTATAAAGAAAAAATTTTTGTATGTTTGTGTTTTGTAATGAATAGGCTCAAAAAGTACTGGGCCGATTTAAAAAAATATTTCACCAATAGAATGCTACATTCTTCCAATTTGATATAGGCTCCATTTCATTTTGAAAAAAAATAGTAATAGCATAAAAAAAATATGATCCTTAGTAAAATTTGAATAATGTAACCGAAGGTGTAGAAAAATAAATAATTGTCTACCCCGTGCGAAGCCGGGACGGGCTGCCAGTGTTAAATAAATAAATGCCACAATATCATCCCCAGATCCGCAACATCCACGGCAGTACGTCTGACTCGTGCGCGCTGAAGGTCCGGTCGGGCCCGCAGTTCACGCAGAGACTGCGCGACTCGGCCGCCAGCGAGGGCGACCGAGACGTAGAGTTCACCGTCGCCGTCGAGGCATACCCTGAACCCACTGTCAAATGGTAACATAACGTACATTATATTCTTCTTATGTCTGGCCATATTAATCGAAAGTTTTAAGTGTGAGATCATCATAATTTTCTTTAATTAAAATCACGGGTTACTCACGTGAATATACTGAGAAAATCTCTACTAGTTTCGAACCACAGAGGGGTCTTCCTCATGAGCAGCGTGCGCGGTCGCGGCGACGTCGCGCAGCTCACTCAGTTTTAGTTAATTTAGTATGTCTCACGATAGTTATTATAAAAACATAATTTTCTTTGTCCATTCTTCTTAATCTGGACTATTAATACTCGACTATTACTCCGAAACTGATTGGATTCTCGGATTGTCAACGTGTTTTCTAATAGGTTTAAGTCTGTAGCTCCTGAAACTTAACGGTCTGTCATCTGTGCATCACTTTTTCCATTATTGTATTGAAATAAAAGAAGTATTAAAGTCATATTCCCTGTGCAGGTACCTGGGCGACGTGGAGATAACAGAGAAGAAGTCAGTATTCACCCGCGTGGACAGCGGGAACACTCACAAGTTGATCCTGAAGGAAGTGTCGGCGGAGTACTCCGGGAACTACTCCTGCAAGGTCTCCAACGTCCTCGGGGAGGACTCCTGCTCCGCCACCTTCACTGTCAACAGTAACTACCATACTTCTTATAATACAAACCCTTTATTTTACACCATAAACGAGAACATAAGCAACTTCAATATAACTTACATCTATTTGCTTAAACACAGAGTCCTACTAAGTTATCTACCCATTGATCTACATCTATTATTTCATCGTTTATTTTATTAATGTGTCCAGTTACTTTAATTGGTTTTTGTTTTCAACCGTTGTGACTGTAATAAATAAATAAATCTAATCAACGTGTTTGTAGTTAAAATCATCAAATATTTAAAAACTGTTGCTGCGTGGTTAACAAACGAAACACATCGGAATCTACTAGTCTTAAATTTCTCAGTATTAGACATATTATAACTTGATAGTAATAGTTGTCACTAAGACGATGATAAAGTGGATATTTTCAAAAACTACAAAGTCTACATTAATACTCCAGGGAAGCCTCGTTTCACGAAGAGTCTGATCGACATGACGGTGGACGCTGGACAGACCCTGAAGCTGGACGTGGAGGTGGAGGGATGCCCCGAGCCCAAGGTCAAGTGGTTCAAGGACGGGAAGGAGGTCAATACTGATGCCAGGATTAAAATCGAGAGAGATACTAAGAGGTGAGACTTAACGTATTTATACTTAACTAAACTAAATTAAATTCACGCCTTTATTCTTTGAAATGTCGAAGTCAAATCATTTATTTCAACATAACATAACATCACGCCTTTTATCCCCGAAGGGGTAGGCAGAGGTCTACATTACGGCACTTAACGCCACTGTACAATGTAACACCCACTTTTTATTATTTTTGTTATGAGTCCTATGTAACAGAGGGTGAGCCTATTGCCATATACCGGGCACAATTCTAGGCTCCGTGCTACTACTGAAATTTTTTTTAATCCAGTAATACTTTGACCTATCTGGGAATTCAACCCAAGACCCATTGCCCAGCAGTCGCACTTACGATCACTCGGCCAACGAGGCAGTCTATTAGGCAGTCCTCTAACACTGTAGCTATTTGCTTGTTCCATGGCTACTCTTATTCTCTACATTTCAATTCTTGGTTACATTATCAAAAAACTTCTGATGAAATGTAGCGACAACTGTAAAAACATCGATTATAATTGAATATAGTTCTTCGTTAAAACAATATTAATACTTTAACTGCCAAGTTTAAAATGGTGAAAGTCAAACCTCCACTAGCGTCAGGCACCGGTGACTGACGTGGCGCTCTAAGGGTTAATATATCTTCTTCAGGTTGGAGAACTATCACCTATCAGTGACTCTGGTGAAGGAGGAAGATGGCGGTGACTACGAGGTCAGGGCCGAAAACGAGTTTGGTAGTGTCTCTTCTAAGAGCACGGTCACCGTACACAGTAAGTATCCACTCACACACGAATACAGATCTACCGCACGAGCCGTAGGGACCTATTTCGAACAAATAAGGACGTATCACAAAATTTTATCTATTTGTAACCTTGTGCACCATAATATAAGGATCAAAATTGGCACTTCAGTATGATTTTTTTCACAAATAAGAGTTCCTGCAAACACTGAAACACTATATACACATACACACACACAGGCACACACATGCACTACACACACACACATGGTAAGCTCCAACAAATTAGATACGAATCTGTCGGGAAAGGACAGAATTGGCACTTCGATGGAAAGCAAGACGGGTAAAGTAGAGGTAGTTTGCATTAACGCAGTAGTGACATTGAACCCTAGATACTACCATATTATTATACGCACGTTAGTTTGTGTTTGGTGTCCTAGATACCGACCATGAGGAGATGGTAATTAAACATTGAAGCATTCAATAGACTGGAATGCTGAAGTAGTTACTCACGAACATCGATGCACTGTGTCCCGCACAAACCTTTACTTAACCTCTGTGACGTCCATTATTCAGTACATTCCGTCCATTTCAATAATATCCATGTTTTATTGTTACCATTTTTTCATTGTGTTTAATAGCTCGCGAGATTCATTCGACGTTGAATAAAGAAGCGATTATCGAAAGTGAAGTAGACGACGAAAGCAAAAAATCGAAAAAGGCTCTAGAAGACGATGTGGATAAAGAAAGTAAAAAGTCAGGCAAGTTAGCCAAAGCGGAGACTGTAGAAGAAAAATCTATATGGGATGATGACGAAGATGGTAAAGCTAAAAAATCAAGTGTTGATGACGTAGATGCATCACCCAAGTCAGCTAAGAAATCGCTCACAGAACCCGAGGATGCTGAAGAAAAGTCATTCTGGGATGATAACGATGACGACAAGAAATCCAAAAAACCTTCCGTTGAAGAGGTAGATTCAAAGCCAACTAAAGGAAGGAAATCTATCACAGAACCTGAGGTTGCTGAAGAAAAGTCTTTCTGGGACGATGCAGATGAAGATAAAAAATCCAAAAAGCCGTCAGTTGAGGAAGTAGAGGCAAAACCAGGTAAAGGAAAGAAATCTGTCACTGAACCTGAAGTAGCTGAGGAAAAGTCTTTCTGGGATGACGCAGAGGACGATAAACAATCCAAAAAGGTATCCATTGAAGAAGTAGAATCGAAACCGGGTAAAGGAAAAAAATCCGCCACTGTACCTGAGGTAGCGGAGGAGAAGTCGTTCTGGGATGATGCTGGTGATGGAAAAACTAAACAACCTATTGTAGAAGAACCCGATACACCAATTAGTAACAAAGCGAGGAAGTCCGTTACTGAACCCGAAGTAGCTGAAGAGAAATCATTCTGGGATGACGTACAGGATAAACCGAGCAAACCAACTATTGAAGAAATTGACTCGACACCTACTGATATCGGAAAGAAATCCTTCTCAGAGCCAGAAACAGTAGAAGAGAAATCATTCTGGGATGAAAACCACAATGAACAAAACAAGAAACCTGTCGTAGAAGAGGTTCTTACCAAGAAAGACGCTGGAGAGAAAAGTGCCACTAAACCTGAGTCGATAGAAGAGGTCCCCATCGCCGACGACCTGAAGTCACCCAAGCGTAAATCCGTTAAAAAACAATCCCTTGAAGAACCATTAAGTGCTGGAACTGAAGGTATAAACATTACTCGCTTCGACGCTTACTCTCTTCAACTCGGCAAACAGCTTTTAGTATGCGAGAATTTTATGTTTTCGCGCACAACTATGCATGCTTTAACACTGTGTTACTTAACATCCCAAGTGTGATTTGTTATGTTTAGGCCGAGTTTTCGAAACGGTAACTACGTTCAAGACAGGCGAAGACGGTGCTATTATAATGTCTAAAGTCAGCAGCACTCGGTCTCACGGCGCTATTATCACAGGTCAGTATCCAGCTTCCTACCTTCTCTTCCCAGTTCTAACCTCCATCTATCGTCAGCTAATTTTCTACCATCAAACTAGATTGCTTGAGGAACAACTTTAAACTAAAAGGATAACGCAGTAACTTCATCTTTCTAACCTTACCTTCTTCTACATAGTAATTTTACGTAAATTCAACATAATACTATTTTAACTGGTAGGTCCGGCCGAAACACACACTTTACACAAAATGACGTCAAAATCACTTTATTACGATGATGATGACTTTTTCGGCGGCAGAAGGTTAATACAGCCCAACAAACCACACACGACTTCTTTGGAAGTCGAAGAAATTGCTAGCCACAGTTATTTCTTGACGGAGATGGGCCATTATACCATACCGGATCATGTCAGGCGAGGTACCTATGGTATTATTGAAGAACCACAAACTGACTCGGAGGCTGATGCTGGATCACGATGTGGAAAGATGGGAGCGAGCCGAACTGTGTCTATCATGTCAGTCTCGGAGGATGAGATGAGCTGGCAAAACGAACCTCTCTCTAGAGAGATATCGATCGAAGACTTGTCGAAGTCTATATTCGACATTGACGAAACTAGAAAAGTGTTTAGCAAAGACTCGTACGTTCGCCAAACTTCTTTCAAAGAAGATTACATCATTGGTGAAGATGAAGAAGAGTCTTTGATTTTAAAAGAAAAGTCGCAAAAGGTATTCGAGAATGACATCACAGAGAAACTCATACACATTTCGAAGGAATTCGACGAAAACGAATACAAATCCGTCGACAAAAAGATAGATAACGTTAAAAATAGAATCATAGAAGAACTAGTATTAGCGCCCATGAAGAACTTCGATAACATTACGAAAGATGTAACGGAGACTACTGTTGAGAGGAAGAGAAAGAATGAAACCAAGCTATTTAGTTTGGAGGAGGAGATGGATGACGAGGTAGAAGCCCTACTGAGACGAAGCCAGAGACAGAGGAGCATACTAGATGATATCCTAAATGTGGAAGATGAAAAAGGTAATTGTTAAATCAAAATATTAAACAAACGGGGACGTTGTACGATGACGAGGCTGGCATTGATGACGTAACGCTACGCAGTGTATGTCAGGGGAGAATAACATGAAAGTAATCGCTTTGTATCCGATATCGGAAATTGCTGATGTTGATTCCATACAATCTGCTATTTTCTTTTTAACTGCAACTAAAACTCTATACTCTTCAATCTCCTTCTTCGAAGAAAATGGCAGATTCTTCTCCATGTAATGTTCCTCTAAATGTCTCTCCATATTTGATTAATGCTGTCGTATGTTTGTTTTAGCACGCATGCGTAATAACATTCCCTTCTGGCATACTAATACTTGGGGCTCGGTGCGACAGAGGTACTAGTCCCTACAGAATATCATCACATCGTCAAAGTAAGTCAATTATTTTATAAATGTAGCGCGACGCTTGCATGGAACTTGAGCTTCTCGTGTGTATGGGCCGCTAGTTGTAAGGCACACATCGATAAGTGGTAAGTATAATAACACATGTAAACCAAACACACGGGCACTAGTGTCCTCGGCTCACACAGGCAGCTGTAAGTATCCTGAGTAAGAACAACAAATAACTGCTGTAAATACTGCGACAATATTGAGCAATTTATGTAAATACACAACTTTCGAATGGGCTTCTTCGATTCTGGGCTTAAGAATGTATTGTTGGTCAATTTCTATCTAATTTTTGTACAAGAAAACGTTGAGTTACTTCATTCATCACTTAATTTTACATGACATTATCTATAGTAAGAAAATCCACTAGTTTCCTTAGAAATGATGTAACTCTTCGCCTATAGTTTACTTCTATTGTATAATAGCTGAATTTTCTGTCACATTGAATATCAATTCAATACTTCTAAAACGTCTCTAGTGTAAAAATCACGAAACTGTTTTTATGTTATCCTCCCAGCCTATTGCTATGCAGTCTTAGCTTTAATACAATCAGGTCGAGGGGAGACCTGACCTGGCTTATTACAGTTCTTTTAACACGATCACTTTCGAATTGCAGCACCACCCACAGTCAAAGGCGGCAGTATGAAGGACGGGCACGCATACGAGTCCCTACCTCTAGTTTACTCAGTAGAAGTCTCCGGTACCCCGAAACCCACGATTCGTTGGCTGCACGACGGCAAGGAAGTGAAGCCATGCGGCAGGGTCCACATCACCAATGATGGAGATCTGTTCAAGTTGGAGATAGACAGCGTTCAGATGAAGGACGCTGGAAAATGGCAGTGTGAAATCGTCAACGATCTTGGAAAGCAAGTGCAGACCGCTCAACTGTCTGTGTCACGTAAGTTGAATTCATGATTGGTATAATCATTCACATACATACTGTTTTAAACTCTTTGAAGCTCTAGAGGAATACCTCTAGAGCTATTTAGAAGGTATTAAATCGGTTAAATGGTATCATAAGGACCAAAACAAATTATTAGAAAACAATTTGAAATTCTGTGTCCTTAAAATTTCCTGTATCTAACTACGATGTTCGCCTTTCCAGCGGAGTCCGAGCTCCGCAAGCCAAAGTTCACGTGTCCCCTGGAAGCCCAGCGCGTGCTGCAGAAGGAGCCGGTGAGGCTGCAGGCGGTGTGCACGGCCGACCCGCTGCCGCACGTGTCGTGGCTGCTCAACGGGGTCGAGCTCACGCCCAGCGCCACCATCGTCACCTCCGCTGATACCAAGGATCTAGATCATGGACTCAAGGAATGCACCTTTACTCTGCAAATTCCTACTGGTATGTGATCTTAACATACCTTTAAGGTGTTTAACATAGTTTAGTGGGTGTGGCAAGAATATGTTTGATTTTAATCCAGCCATCTCAGTAGCTTAAAAATGAAAAATTCGAAAAATTTATGCCTCCTTTCTTGCCGCTTTTAACACCAAATCCACAAATTGGCAACTGAATTTATAGCTAAAATTATTTGACAATATATAATATCCCTTTCAGTATTTTATTCAGGCTCTAATGTGAGGGTAAGAATCCGTGGACAATTAATACGTATCATTATCAAAAAATATATAATTTCAATATTTAACGTCATTGTTCTGTAGGTCGCCACACGGACACTGGTGAGTACACGATCCAGGCTACGAACAAGTACGGAGTGGGAGAGAGTTCCGCGCGCCTCGACATCTTGCTGCGACCTGAGATTGAAGGACTGAAGGATGTCACCGCCGTGCCCTTCGAGGAGACCACCTTCATCGCCAATGTTAGGGCCAACCCTATCGCTGAGGTCAAGTGGTAAGTGCCAAGAAATCTACAGAAAAATGAAGTTACCATTAGGTTCAATAAAACTCGATTGGTGACGCGATGTGGATCACATAAACAACTGTTGTTGTTCTTGGTCTGGGTTTTAAATTCAGACGATGATAACCGGACCTGGATAAGATTTGGATGTGTATTGATTGTTAGTAAACGCCCCCACAATGCCGGAGAAAACTGTAAAATGGAGCAACGTTTTTGTAAATATTTTCATCACAATAGTTAGCTATTTTACTGACAACACTCATTTATTTAATTCCGCTCTCCTCAGGCACAAAGACGGCTACGTGATTCAGCCATCGTCTCGCTATGATATAGTGGAGGACTTGGCTAACGAGAAGTATCAGCTGACTGTCAAAAAGGTCGCAGTGGATGATGGAGGAGTCTATACTCTGGTCGCCAAGAATGAGGTCGGGGAGACCTCGCAGCAGGCCAAGCTTATTGTGCATAGTGAGTAAAAACTGTTCTTATTTTCAAAAGCAGTTTTAAATATGGTCGCCTAGAAAATACCAGACCAAATATTTCAAGCACTTGTGCTACTGATATATGGGTTAAATAGTGTCCTCCTTTTGTTGCACCGTAACTAATTATTACTCTTGTTTTTTTTGGGACAAACATTTTATTCTCGTTTAATCATTTTATCCTCACGAGCATTGAATTTTTATTTTAAAATATTAGATACTCTAAACTTAGTTCCAATCATATTTTTTACAATTTCCACCATCACCTCCACAGCCGGAGCGCCAGTGTTCACGAAGCCCCTCCAGAAGCAATCAGTGAAGGACTACGACGACTGTACCCTGAAGGTCCGCTGTGACGGAGTGCCCAAACCGGACGTGGAGTGGTACAGGGAGGGGACACTCGTGGCCAACGACGACCGACACACCGTCACTACTGAGGTCGGGGGACAGGTCGACAGCGAACTAGATATCAAGCACTTCAATGCTAGCGATGCGGGCAAGGTGAGGATGGCTTTTTGATATTATTTTTCTTATTTGTTTGAAGATGGCGGTAGTTAGAACAATCGTAGTTTCTATAATGCGGCTAAAATAACTAGACATTAATTTATAGCTCAGTAATAAAACTATGAGGTTCCAATTTTGTACTGAGTATGATTTTAATAACACTTTGATGATGATATTAATGACAGGTAACATTTTATACTCACCACTCACCAGATAGCACTAATGTAGCGTAGTGCCTGTTTGTGCAACATAATATTATTTATTTCTTAGCTTCAAACCGTTGGCAATACATTATCTAGTGATTGGACCAATAGAACCTTACGCTGCATTACCGTCATTTGGTGTAATAACCTTCATTATAAAGAAGGTGCTAACAATAATATTCTTCCCCTCCAGTACAAGGTCCGCGCAGTGAGCCTGGCCGGCGAGGCCGTCTGCGAGGCCGTCATCACGCTGGAGCAGAAGTCCCCCGGCTTCACTCACAAACTCGACAGACAGAAGGATGTCGACGAGGGAGACCTGCTCGAACTCAAGGCCAAGCTCGATGGCAGCCCCATTCCTACTGCTAAATGGTGAGACTTATTTTGTTCAAAGGTTATGAAAGTAGGCAGGCTGTTCCAATTAGTTGATTATGACTATACAAGAATGATGATTTAATTTAGTGTTATCATCAGTGATCAGGATATGTGTATTAGTTACCTTCTCAATCGCAGAACCGATCAACGTTCTTAGTCAGTTTCTTGATTTAAATCAAAACTTAAGTAAGAAAGGTTTGCAATTTTGAAATTGTCAGTGGTACAAGATTTCTCTTAAATGTTTTAGCAATTTAACTCGTCGAGTACCGGTTTTATAGACACAATTAAAGAATCGCGGTCACCGGTGACCGCTCGGTGTTTGACAGATTAATATTTGGTCCTCATTTAGCGAATGCGAAATTTTTTTTAAAAGTTTAGGTTTAGCAATATAAAATTAGCAATGCATCTATCAGTTTTAGACACACCGTAACTACAAGTAGTAATATACCTGCAGGTTCAAGGACGGCGCCCCTCTGTCTCCGGACGACAGCCGCGTCCAACAGACCGCCCTGCCGGACGGTACTGTCAAACTGAGCATCGAACACGTGACCCCGGCGGACTGCGGCGCGTACAAACTCGTCATCTCCAACCCTCACGGAGACAGCTCCGCGCTTTGTGCTGTCGCCGTCAACCGTTAGTACTTTCGTTTATGGTTTTTTATGGAGTAGAGATATGAAGGATTATCTGGTGGTAAGCAATTGGCACAGCTTATCGACACTAGATGATTATAAGTGCGTATCTGGCCCTATGAAGAGGAGGAGTGGTTATGGGGCGTCCAGTAATCTCATCCACACAGTTTTAATGCAAGGGCTGTTTCATACTGTCTTTCTGGCCGTGGTATCACACCAGTATCGAGCTGGCCCATTTGATTCGTACCGATATAAAGTGCTCTTTCACGTGAAAAATTAACTAATAGATGTTAATGGTGTCGCCACTCCGATAATGCTTTCAAATAGTATAAGTTGATTGAGGATCAATTTACGAGCAAGACAGTATATCAACTAATCAAACATCATCTACAGCTACCCCTAGGAAGCCGTCATTCAGCCAGGAGTTGGAAGACGTGAAGGCAGTGGTCGGACAACCACTCAAGTTGGAAGCCAGGGTCATGGCATTCCCTGCGCCGGAGATCAAGTGGTTCAAGGATGGTAAGTCATTCATTTTGTTACCAAGAAATAAACATTCTTCGGTATTTTATAATATTATATTGAAACAAAATACAATCACGTTTATTAATTTAAAACTAGGATATATTAGTGTACCTAAGTGGATTAGGTGGTCCTACAAATATTGTTAACCCGGATTCCTAAACTAGGTGATCCTCTACCTATCTTGGGAGTCATTTGGTAGTATACTTATGTACACAGGATTGTTGGAAGTCTGAAGGGTAGTGTTTACACCATTATATGTCGAATATTCTAATAGTAAATATAGCACCCGTCGAATTTGACGTCACATACCGTAGAAAAGGAGTGAGATTGATTGACATTTAGCATTCAAGATTCAATACAGCACTCACTCTTGACTCCCAATAGACAGCTGTTTAGAAAACTGTGAATTGATTTGTGTTTAGTAATTATAATTATTAAGTTTTAAGGTTGAAATTATAATAGTTAAAATAATATAATATTTGATGTAGACATTTGATTAGATAATCTTGTGTGCGTTTTAAATACTGTTTGTGTCTTATTTAGTTTAAAATGTTAACGAGTAAAAGTGCAATGTAAAAAAAATCGTTTCTATTCGTAGGTTTCATTATGTTACTGTAATGTCTGCAATATGTAGGTACATAAATACCTAATAAACACGTCAAAAAATTCCAATCCATTAGACTATGATGTATGAAGGTCAAAAGTCCACTGCCACCGTGAGTTATGTTCACACGGCAATACGTAAGTAATTTCATATTAATGTGCATAAAAACGCGCGCGTACGCATAAACACACGCACGGGTACTCATACGGATAAATATATGCGTGTGCATGGGTGTATAACCGCTGCAGCGCAACCGATAGTAGTCTTACGGTAGCAGTGGACTTTTGACCTTTGACCGTACATTTGAACATTTGAAAGGTACAATGAGTAATGTATGTCCGTGTACAGGTCTCCCAGTCCGTCCGTCACAGGCGGTGAACTTCGTGAACCAGCCGGGCGGACTGGTCGGACTCAGCATCGACTGCTGCAAGCCCGAGGATGCTGGGAACTATGAACTTACTGTCACCAACAAGCTCGGAGAGGTAAACAAATATACGTCTATTTTGAAATAATAGTCTTCAACATATGCCACTTTGTTTCATAATACAACTCTTAGAATTTTATTGTATTTTGTTTTTTTTTTTTACTAAATTCGTTGGTGATTTTTATTAAAGCACCATTCCATTTGAAAATGTCAGATACATATAACTTTGTTATAGGTGTGTATAATATGTAACAATTTTTAAATTCACAATAATTTATTTAATAAGTATTTCGTTAAACCCAGTTAAATAAAAATCAAACGAAAACTTGATATACGTACTTAAGTAATTATTTTTTATTATGAATTCTTATACATATACTCATATGTATAAAATAATTATATCAATTGGATTTAAAAGTCCAACTAAATCTTTTAAAATTTGTAACTTTTACTAACAATCCTTACATACACTTTTGCCTAATTCTGAATGTTTACAGGTTGCCTCTAAAGCCAAGGTGGAAGTAGGCCAGAAGGAGCGCAAGCCTGCGTTCATTGCCGAGCTGCAGCCCACCAAGGTCATTGAAGGGTTCCCCGTCAAGTTGGAGGTCAAGATCCTTGGACACCCACAGCCTACGCTTAAATGGTGAGTCACTTAAGACCTTACCATAAAGCCAAGCATATCATCTTAGTTAAATATCTGTTTTATAGCAAACTATCGATTTATTTTCTTTTTCTGTAATAATATCTTTTGATCTATTGCGTCGCGGGATCTAAGACAGTTATTCATGTCCTGGGACGCGCCGGACTTCAGTGTTCCGGTATTTTCATGGTTGTATGTAGATTCTGGCTTATAGGAGTTGCAGCGATTTCCAGAAGCAGTGGCGGTATTGTGCCATTAACTCGTTGAGTACCGTCATTATAGACACAATTAAAGAACAATAGGTGTGCGGACACCGGTAAACTCGCGGTGTTTAACAGTTTAAAAAAATTGAATTGAATTCTCAATGTTGCCATGTCTTCCTCCCCAGGACCCACAACGGCAAAGAGATAGTCCCGGACGGGCAGCACGTCCGCGTAGTGTCGCAGCCGGACGGGAGCCACGCGCTGCTCATCGACCGCGCGGCCGCGCCCGACGCCGGACACTACGGGGTCATCGCCGCCAACGACAAGGGGGAGACTGCCAGCACTGCTGACCTCACTGTCGCTAGTCAGTATTCAATTACTAGCGTTTACCTAGCCTAAACTGATCCAAAGCTCCTACTTCTGTCGGCAGGGTTTAAAGTAACTTAACGAATGATAGAATGGCAGATATGTTTTACCTGCTTCAATTGTCTTCGGTTCTGCCTCCGAGCGAAAAATAAAAGAATTATTACGACAGGAATAAAAAAATCAACCTGCTATGATATTAATATAAATTTCATTCCTCAGGTCGTACGGACGACTCGAGTCCCCAAGAACGTCCCCGCTTCATCCACGGCCTGCGTGACCTGACCGCGGAGGAGGGCCAGCCCCTGTCGGTGTCGGTGCCATTTGTCGGGAACCCGGTGCCTGAGGTCACCTGGACCAAGGACGGAGTGCCACTCAAACCTAACGAGAAGATACGGTTGACTTGTGATGGAAAGAGGGTAAGTTTCACTTTATTTTTAACAGACTTCAAAAGGAAGTGCTCAGAGTCATCTGTATGTATGTTTGTATGTATCAATGCTTGTTTGTGTGCGATAGTATCGCGGTCCGCGATCGGTTAAACTCGTTTTTATGCAGTTTCCAGAAAAAAATTTGTTACACTTCGGAGAAGATTTTAGTATATTAATTAACCTACTTAAAAAGAAGGGATTTTTTAAATATAGTACCTATATAAAAGAACTAAGATAACTGTAAAGTATCTAAATATTAACTTACAGACTTGTTAATCCCCTTTACCACAGTAAAGATTTATTCTTATTCTAGAATCCGAAATAACTATTAGCAGATCATACAGAGATTTTCTTTAAACACACAACAAATTACACAATACAGTGTCTTGTGACATCATTCAATACGTAACATTCTAGTTCAGGTATTAATTTTTACTTTTTGTTGCTGCCCAGGTTGGCTTGGAGATCAGTTCGATGGAGTTGCCAGACGCGGGCGTGTACTCTATAAAGTTGGTGAACCCCCTGGGGGAGGACTCCTCCGACGGTAACATCAATGTACGCAAGGTCTTCTCCGCACCTACCTTCTCACAGAAATTCACTGATCTGCAGCAGGTGAGGATTTACTTACTACCTATAAATTAATATTAACTCTACAAGGGAATTTTAACGGGTAGATAAACTGTCTTTCTTCTTTCATATTAAGATGAAATTATAAGTCGCTATTTTAAATTGTATAGGTAGATATATGGTTTTTAAATTTAAATACTAATTAAGTTTATGAAACTAAAAATAGTTTTTACATCGTTAAAATTGTTAAAAGATCGTCAGCAGTTAAATTTATTATTATTTTGCACAAATAGAAAAGCAAAAAATTGAAAAATTTAAAGAAACTTCGCATTTGAAATATATGAAAAAAGAGGACAATGAAGAAAATATGTGCCCTTTTCTTCGTCTATCCAGCAAGAATGTAACTCAAACCCCTTCACACAGCTACCAACATTCGACGCGAAGTTCCCGGCGCGAGTGTTCGGCATCCCGTTCCCGGAGATATCGTGGTACAAGGACGGCGCGCTGCTGCGGCCCGGCGACAAGTACAGCATGAAGCGCGACGGCGACGCGGCCTGCCTCTACGTCCGCGACCTGGCGCCGCCCGACGCCGGCCGCTACCGGTGCCTCGCCGCCAACCGGGAGGGACAGGCTACTTGCGAGGCCAATCTCGAGGTCGTTGATAAGATGTGAGTCCACTTTCTTTTGAACTTACGTTTTTTACTAAAGTCATAGCTTGAATATACGTTAACCAAGGGAACTCTAAAATAAGCTTTTAATAAGGTTTCAATAAGGTTTATTATTATAGTATTAGTTTTTCATAAAGATTGGTTTTTTAATTTTAGATTTCCAAAACCCTTTATTAAACTAGTGAGTTTAAATGTTGTTTACTTGCTTTGTAGACAGTAGGGTTTCTTACCTGTAAAAAATCAACTGATGTGAAATAAAATGCTATTGCCAATAAAAGTTTCAATATGATTGTTATTCGCTTACAAACTTGGTAAAATGTAATGTATTTCCTGTACAGAGCCCGTAAACAGAAGGTGGAGCCGCCAGAGTTCCTGAAGAAGATCGGCGACATCGAGGTGTTCCGCGGAATGAGTGCCAAGTTCACTGCCTGCGCCACCGGGACACCAGAGCCTGACGTCGAGTGGTATGTGGCTACTAGCATTAGAGTAATATTCTATTAAATGGTGGAATTTGAAATATTTTTATAGGTTAAGATGGCAAACAAGCAGATTAATCACCTGATGGTAAGCAATCGACGCCACCCCTGAACAATTAGATAACCGCAAAACCAGGGTAGTTGTATGTGCGTTGCCGGCCTTTTGAGGATTACGGATAGAGAGGAAGTTTAAGCCTCCGGCACCTAAAGCAGGGTTTCGCCGATTTTCTTTGAGGACGTGGTGTCACTATTTACTACTTTTTGTAATATTATAAGATTGTAACGTATTAATTTATGTCCCCAGGTACCGTAACGACGAGCGCCTGTTCCCCTGCGAGAGGATCCGCATGGACAAGGAGACCACCGGCCTGCTCCGCCTCACCATCGGCGGCGTGGAGCCCAGCGACGTGGCCACGTACCGCTGCAGGATATACAACGCGCACGGGGAGGCCACCTGCTCCGCGGAACTCACTTATGACAGTCAGTACATTTGTTTATACAGGGAATTAGTTATATGTCAAACTGTGGGTAGATTTCATCAATCAGCTCGTCAGTTCAAGCAAGAAAACCATTAAGAAAAATAGGAAAATGAAGTGTCTATGGTATTAAAATTCTCAACAACCGTTGCCCAATAACCCGGTTTTTTTCGCATTAAAATCGTTTTCTAGTGAAAAAATCTTCCAGTAGTTTCATGATACCATACACTTGTAGATTAAACCCCACTTAGATTGTATTTTGTTGACTTAATCATTACAGGCACAATGACCTAGCTACAATTACAGAAAGACTAGGCTAGGTGGGTAGGGGCATCCCCCTAATCAGGAAAGATGATTTCCTAATTAGGGGATGCCCTATTTAAAATAAGCATTAACCATTAGTAAGATGAATTCGACATGGTGGTGAATATGAATATATATCACCACAATAAAGTATCAGAGCAAAAGTTTGCAAAAATTGAATGTCTACCAATACAATAATGATGGATAATAAGATTAATCTGTTATGTATCTTGCCCACAGCCCTGGAGCCCCACACCAGTAAGCGTCCAATAGGCGACCAGTACTCGGACTTCGACAAGATGAAGAAGACTGGCATCCCCATGCCTCTGGCAGACAGACCCATCATCAATCGCATGGCAGACAGACATCTTACGCTCGGCTGGAAGCCTTCCATACCGCATGGACCCAGGTTCCCTGTCACATACCAGGTGAGGATATTGTGGAAGTAGTGGAAATTAAGTCACAACTATTAAACTTTTGCAAATTAATTATTTATTTTTACCATGTCAGTTAGAAATATTTTACCACGTTAACTCCAGAAACAAGATTTTTATTTAAAACTCTGCTTGCATGTTCGGAAACCTAAAACATTTGTGCTTGCTAAGATTAAATTTTAAATAGTCATTACAAATCAATAAAAAATACTCCTCATGAAAGAGGCTTTACACTGCACTAGCGCCTTTATTCCGAAAACATCGAAAGCATGAATGGGCCATGACATCAGTGCGTCGTCCCCGCAGGTGGAGATGTGCGAGGTCCCGGACGGGGACTGGTTCACGGCGCGGACGGGGCTCCGCTCGTGTGTCTGCGACATCCGGAACCTCGAGCCCTTCAGGGACTACAAGTTCCGCATCCGGGTCGAGAACAAATATGGAGTCAGCGACCCTTCACCCTTCGCCATCACACACCGCTCCAAACTGGAGCCTGACCCACCCAAATTCATCCCGTACTTGGAACCTGGCATTGACTTTAGACCAGAGACCTCCCCCTACTTCCCTAAGGACTTCGACATAGAGCGTCCCCCCCACGACGGCTACGCGCAGGCCCCCAAGTTCCTCCGCCAGGAGACGGACTCCCAGTACGGTGTGAAGGGACACAACGTGAACTTGTTCTGGTTCGTGTACGGGTATCCTAAACCCAAGATGACGTACTACTTCAACGACGAGCCCATTGACATCGGGGGCCGGTACGACTGGAGCTACACCAGGAACGGACAGGCCACGCTGTTTATTAACAAGTTAGTATTTTCGTGCATATTTTTAACTGAATTTCAGTTATGTTACTGTATTGATTCTGTAACTATAGAATTATTACATACACTTCTATATTAGTGGAATTCTCAAAAATGTTTATTTCTGTTTAATTTTTATTCAAAATTGACAATCCTTGTGTTTTTTATTATTCAATGTTTACATTTTGTAACTCTGATGTACAGACATTAATGTAGGTACATTTTTGATTAATTAAAATGAGTAGTACATCATACTGTCAACGCAGTACCCATTAAAACCAAGTATTCTCCCAGGATGTTAGAGCGCGACGCAGGTTGGTACGAGGCCGTAGCGAGCAACGAGCACGGACAGGCTCGACAGAGGGTCCGCCTGGAGGTGGCGGAGTACCCCCAGTTCATCCGACGACCTGAGGAACTGGTGCTGCTGCAGAGGCATACTGGCAGGCTGGAGGCCAGGGTCACTGGGGTGCCCTACCCTGACATCAAGTGGTACAAGGACTGGCAGCCACTCGCACCTAGTGCCAGGATCAAGGTACGGGCATTATTGTGGAATTTTCTTTTAAACAATATCATCTTTATTACAGTCAGGTCGATTGCGTCCCTCTTCTTCAATATCCTTCGTATTATTCGTTAGAGAGAAATCTCTGTGATAACATCTTCCACTTCCTTTGGTTTTCTGTTTCTGTCAGGGCGGTAATAGGGAGTCCGATAAGAGTGGTTATTTAATCATATCATCGGGTAGGGAGTATCAACGTACGAAGGACGCCCGACGTGCGGTATCTCCGTTAACGAAGCCTAAATGTAGAAGCATAGTGCAACAATATCACGCACTACTAACCTATTACATTCCCTTGCAGATCCACTTCATCGAGCCAGACATCTGCCAACTGGTGCTCCACGACGCCATCCTGAAGGACGAGGGTCTGTACTCCATCTCTGCGCGCAACGTGGCCGGCTCCGTCAGCTCGTCCGCCATGATATATGTAGAGGAGTCCGAGCACGAGTACAGTGACAGGTAACCAATAATTTATATCCCAAAATGTAAAAAATAAAATTGGTCATAATCCTACAATTTAGATAGACGACCCGCAAAGGCCGCAAGGAGTCGCTGCTTGTAGGTTGCTGTCAGCCAGTCGATTTATTAGGGGATAGTGATAAACATAGACCATGTTCAACAGTATACTAATATGATGCTGCAGTGGCTAATATAATATGATGCTGAGATCGCGAGTGTGTCCATGTGCTTATTGGAAGGAAACCTTGGACAACATCTAATTTGTCTCAGTGCTTTTCTGCCTTTCCTATAATTAACTTTATTTTTATCATTTATTAACATGACAATGTGGTAATAACGTGATGTATAATATGTAGCGAGTTTATCTAGATCAAAACTACAGTATATTGAAATCTCCATCTATGACAGGATCCGCGAGCACCCCCCGCGTATAAAGGCGAGCACGAAGCCGTTCGGAGACTTCTACGACCTCGGAGACGAACTCGGCAGGGGAGTGCAGGGAGTTGTCTACCATGCTGCGGAGAGACTCACTGGTTAGTACACCTGATATGTATTTCTATATCTCGAATATATGAAACCACCACGACCACGTACACAAATGTCGTTAGTACGATTCCTACCCAAAAAAATGGAGACCTCACGTATTTTGGGTCTTTTAAAAATCACAATTGTTCTTGAATAATTCAATATAAATTGTTTGTACCAAAATAAAATAAACTTTTGACCACCAGGTCGCAACTACGCCGCCAAGATAATGCACGGCCACTCCGCCTTGAAGCCCTTCATGAAGAACGAGCTGGACATCCTGAACATCCTCAACGACCGGCACCTGGTGCGCCTGCACGACGCCTACGAGCACGACCACACCCTGGCACTCGTGCTGGAGCTGGCAGGGGGGGGCGAGCTCGTCCGGGACAGGCTGCTCCGCCATCAGTTCTATACCGAGAGGGACATCGCCGGGTACATACGACAAGTACTGCGCGGACTCAAGTACATGCACGATAACAGTGTCGCGCATCTTGGACTTACGGTCAGTTCTATTAAATGATATTATGGTTGTTTGGTTAGTTGTCAAAACTTTGTTCAGTTTAGAGTTAGAGAAAGAAAATCAAACTAAACTTAAAAGTCTTAACTTTATAATAGTTGTGATTCAGTTAATTTCAGTTACAAATCTATTTACGTGAGACACAGTGTGTTTTCTATTGTGTCTCATATATCGACAGACAACAGGTTAAACTATATTACAGGAAAACAATAATCAAATAAGTGAAATGCATTTTTTGATAAAGCATTGGCAGTTACAACTATAACTTGATAGTTATAACTTATACAGTTATAACTTGATAGTGACATCAAGTTATAGCTAGTTTTATAAACGATCGAATGTAGTCATCGAAGAATCTATAGCTCACTACATGCCACATTTATTAATACTATCAACTGAATATAAAATGTATCCCTTACCCATTAGATCGGCGAGTTGGTCCTGTCTCACGCGGGCAGCGACGAGCTGAAGCTGTGCGACTTCGGTCTGTCGCGCCGCATTCAGTTCAACAAGCACGCCAGCCTCGACTACGGCATGCCCGAGTTTGTGGCGCCCGAGGTCGCCGCAGGGGAGGGAGTGTCCTTCGCCGCCGACCTCTGGAGTCTTGGCATCATCACATACATACTCCTCAGTGGACACTCTCCCTTCCGGGGCGTCAACGACCGCGAGACCTTGACACGTATCCGCGAAGGTCGCTGGGACTGGCACGACGAGGAGTGGTGGTCCCGCCTCAGTACTGAGTCCAGGGACTTCATCTCCAAGTTGTTGATCTATAACTGGCACGAACGTATCGATGTCAACACCGCCCTGTCTCATCCTTGGCTGACCCTCGCTGACAAGATCTACCAGGAGGAGTACCAGATCACCACTGACAGGCTCAGGAACTACTACAACTTGTACAGGTCAGTCACCATTTCAATTATCACAAACACACCGTGTTTAGTACGAAAAACATGCACAAAACTACAAGCAATATGTTTCCATTTGTCATTACGTCGACTATCAATGAAGAAGCTACTTACCTACTTCAGCATTTCTTTCTGAAAATAGAAAATGTCCTATAATTAGGCATTGGCTGTCAGTCTCAAAAACCCCGTTCTCATGACAATCCTGGCCTCAAGAATGATGTGCTACACATTTGTCATGCGTCGAGATTCCTTGCTTACTGTGTGGGCGTAAGATTTACTACTAATTAACTTTGATACGGGACTAGGGTTTGTGCACATCGCACTTATAACTGGACTGTAACAAATTCGTCGCGCGAATCGTAATAGTGTGCGTCGCATCGAGCTGTAGACGCGATACGGATATATTATAGACAGAGATATTGTCCTAATATCGATAAGATAGGTCTAAATCTCTCTTCCGATTTAGATCAAAGATCGAAAATTGTATCATAATCAACACTTCCACACAATATCGTACAACCGCGCGTCTACACACCGCTCAGTTCAATGCCCACCCTAAAAGCAATCCCTAGCCGGGAAATGACAATGATTCAATATCATTATGTCATATCGATATATTTGGCAGAGCACTCAATCAATTATACCGAGCCAATAAACTAAAATAAAGCTTGGCATCATCGCCACGCTTGTCACAAACGTTGGTAAACATTTTGTCGACGGCCATGTTAACGTCGGACCAAGTGATGTTGGTCGTACAGGCGACGTACTCGACGTGTCTTTGATGCATCGCCAAATAGTACTATCTTGACGGGAAACGAGTGCAGTTTATTTGTTTAAAAAGTGTGTAAAATAATATAAAAATGAAGGCCATAAAAGGTGTGATTGATTGGATCAGGGACTGGACCAGCAACGCACAATGTCGCACGTGGTTCCGTCGCAAGCCACTCAGCGGGGCCTACGAGCATCCCTCCAAGATGGTCTACCCGCCTGGAGAAACTTATACACCGGAAGGTTAGTATTCATCTACGTTACTTTATTTTTTACTTGGGCTACTGGTTCTCCCCGCTGGCGTTATTATACCTCAAAACCCCTAATAACGATAGCGCTATGGTTAAAAATTGTTCCAAAATTGTTCTTTCTATGTCTTTGCCAAATTTATTTCCCTAATTATGCATCAGGTGGCTATTTTGTAAAACTCCCGGAATAAAGCGTTCAAATAACTTCATAATTGTATATTTTCAAGGAGATAAGAATCATGATTCTTTATATATATATTAAAGTAACTATTTTATCGACCTCCCCCAGACACCCCCGACCGCGACCGCGCCCCCCACGAGCGCGAGCCCGGCCAGCACGACATCAACTTCAAGCAGTGGGACCATCCTGACTGGGAGGTCTCCGCCAAGTCTGAGAGCCAGTACGTTACTATATTTATTTATTACATACACACATTATAAACACGAAATGCATTTGTTCATATACAGCACACACTTCAATTTTAACTCATAGTTTTCAACAGCAAAGATAAATGCAACAACAACTTATTTAGCCTTTTAACTAACGATACCTGAACGACTGGCTAATTTAGGACGTTAGTAGAAATGTCACTAAAACCGAATTGCTACTGGATGGTGTTTGGTTGAAACTGTGAATACAAAAAAAACCGAATACCATCAACAATAAACTGCAGCCAATATTTTTTAAGTTAATTCAGCTAGACCAAAGAATTCAAGATGATTGTAAAGTGTTGATTACTTGCATCCAATCAACCTTATTAACTAATTATGAAGTTTTCTGTGCATCTAAAGTTAAATCAAAAGTACAAACTATAAAAGATACTATCAATGTTTCTAGCTACCAGAACGGTCCAGACACATACCTGCTCCAGCTCCGCGACACCCAGTTCCCGGTGCGACTGCGCGAGTATATGAAGGTCGCGTGTGATCGCTCGCCTGGGTACAGCCTCAACGTATTCGATACATATGACCCCAGGGTATGTGTGCTTGGATTTACAAGAGAAATGTCGATTGACTTCTTTGGTATGTTAGTAACAAATATGTTAATATTACCTACTTATTTTCTACAGACTCCCATCATCCGCGAGAGACGTCGCTTCACCGACATTATGGACGAAGAAATCGACGACGAGCGCCGCGAGAGGATCAACAACTATGGCACCGAGTCATACACCATCCGTAGACTCAGACACGAGCTCGGCACCAGACTCGACTCATACGCTGAGGCACAGGCACTCATGGAGTCCAAGAAAGATGGACAACTGCCATTCTTCAGGGAGAAGCCACAACTCCTCCCCGTCAGGGAGGGAGAGAACGCACAGCTGTCCTGCTTCGCTGTCGGTGACCCTAAACCCAGCATCCAGTGGTTCAAGAACGACATGGTCATCGCTGAGGGACAACGCATTAAGATCATTGAAGATGACGAGGGTAGATCTACGCTAAAGTTCGAACCCGCCAAGCATCATGACATCGGCTTCTACAAGGTCGTGGCCAGGAACAAGGTGGGCCAGACCGTCGCCCGGACCAGGATCGTAGAGGCCACGACCCCGGACGCCCCGGACAGCCCCAGCGCCGCCGAGGTGTCGGACACGGAGGTCCTGCTCCGCTGGAAGCAGCCCAAGTACGACGGCAACTCGCCCGTCATCTGCTACAGTCTGCAGTACAAGGCGGGCGACAGTGTGGAGTGGCGCGATGTCGCCAGCAACATCGACCACGAGTTCTTCGTCGTCCGCAACCTCAGCCCCGACACCAGCTACCAGTTCCGGCTCTCCTCCCGCAACAGGATCGGGTGGAGCGACAAGGGCATCCCTACACACTTAGTCAAGACCAAACAATCTGGCGCACCTAAAATCGAAGTCACTAAAGCTATGAAACACCTTCAACAGATCACAGAGTCTGGACAGGAAGTCACTCTAGAGGAGAACAGACCCAAGCTGGACTATTCCCTGGAGGATAGACCAGTCGAGTGGGAGTCATCTCAGCAGTTCACAGAACGTTACAGCTTCGTCTCAGAGTTGTGGCGAGGCAAGTTCTCGATCGTTGTGAAGGGCATCGACCGCGCGAATGATAATGTTGTAGTGTCGAAGATCCTGGAGAACAGACCAGATACTGAAGTACAGATCCAGAGGGAGTTCGAGTGCCTGAGGAGGTTGCGACACGAGAGGATATCGAACCTAATAGCTGCGTACCAGGCGCCTGGCTCCTCGGTCTCAGCGTTCATCTTGGAGAAGCTGCAGGGCGCAGACATCCTCACGTACCTGTCGAGTCGTCACGACTACACGGAGCAGATGGTGGCCACCATAGTGACACAGATCCTGGACGGTCTACAGTACTTGCACTGGCGTGGCTACTGCCACCTGGACCTGCAGCCTGACAACGTAGTAATGGCGTCCGTCAGGTCCATCCAGGTCAAACTCATTGACTTCGGCTCCGCACACAAAGTCACCAAGTTAGGAACCAGTGTACCACAAGTAGGCGACCTGGAATACAAAGGTATAGTTTACTACTACTTCTTAGATTAATAACGCCAATTCTATGTACTGCTTTAATTACATAACAACAATTTGCATAAATATTCGTATTAATAACCGATTCTCTCCCCAGCCCCGGAGATCATAAACGACGAGCCTGCCTACCCACAAACAGACATCTGGTCAGTGGGTGTCCTCACCTACATAATGTTGTCCGGCGTGTCGCCCTTCAAGGGAGCTGATGACGCAGAGACCAAGCAGAACATCTCCTTCGTACGGTTCCGGTTTGAACACCTCTACAAGGAAATCACACAGGTTGGAACTTAACCCGTTTGTTTGCAATGGCTTTCAAGTTATCTATTTTCCAAAATGTCCACTTCTTAAAGTACGTCTCCATGCTTGACAAGGCTCTACAAGCTTCTACTAGCCTCTAGTGTCCGCAAATCTTGCATGACATTTTGGAAGTAATTTACACGCTTATGAATGCATCTTGTGCTACATCGTTGTAACTGTGGAGTTTCGGATATAATATTTTCGATATTGAATGTTTTGAGTATGGGGATTGGGTCCACTATAGAAAATGACATTCTGGAAATGGAAACTTTAATCATACCCTGATCTATCATTGTTTATTCCAGGAGGCGACTAGGTTCCTGATGTTCCTGTTCAAGAAGGTTCCCCTGAAGCGGCCGCTGGCTGAGGAGTGCTACGAGCATCGGTGGCTCACTCAGAGCGACTTCATGAACAAGAAGAGGGAGAGGGCCGTCTTCCTAGGCAACAGACTGAAGGTATACAGCCTCTGCAAAGAATCTTGGGTTTGATCTCGGTGTTAGAGGAACTGTCTATTTATTTATATGGACTTTCGATTTTTGCAAGTCTCTGTATCCTATTATGTACATAACTAACTGGCGAGAAATAGGATGTTACCTACATTTATTTTGCTAACAACGCTTTAAGTGACTGCTCAACAGTTAAGCACGTACCATTATTATAACAACGTCTTTTGAAAATCAACTTCTTAAATAAATAATCGAGTTTTAAACACTTAGTACATACATTCCCGTTATTCTCAGGAGTTCTCGGAGTCGTACCACGAGCGCAAGGCGCGCGAGGCGTCGCAGGCGGACACCGTGGCGGCCGCCTTCGGGGGCGCGCGACATCTCGTGCGCTCCAACAGCATACAGGACGAACTGCTCACCACCTTCAACACGCACTGACACCTCCCACACTCATCGCACATCACTGTCTACACGCCAACACCTGTTATTTCTAAATTGTCCATGTGTTAGCTCAATTCGAAACCTTATTAAAGCCCCTTTAAACGCTAAACTAAGGGTTACTATGAGCCTTATATCAATCATGTTTAAGTCCCATAGATTTTTTACACGCGATTTTTACTAGTAAATCCGGACTTAAACCTGATTCCACAGGCTCCCTCTCCATAAATTTTTGCACTTCCTAGTGCGTCGCAAACATCGTTCACAAAGTTTCATGTACATTATTATCATCCAAACGAAAATCTAGTCATAAAGGAAATGTTACGACGGTTTTGTTACTGTTAAGCTATTTATTGTATACAAATTTTTACTATTTATTTATTATTTATACTAATTGGTATATTAATGCTCCAGTATTAATTACACTTAATAAAGAGCATTGATTTGATAGTTTTGTGGTTTTATTTCTTTGAACTACATAATAAATATTATTTTACATGGTAGTTTACTACATTGTAGAGAATGAGACTGACACGTTTTTTTAAGGGGTAAATCGTCGAAGGACTGCTCCCGCCTGAGTGAGGCGGGATGGAGTGTCAGACTCTTACTGACTAAAAACCATTTCTTCCGTTCTTCTCTCGCACGTCGAGCCGGAGCCCCGGTAACCCGTTAGGTTCTCCGCGACTCCGAATCGGCATTGGCCCTGTTGGGCCCCAATGAGAGTGACACTGAGGTTAAGGCCTCTGCCTCGAATTTTGCGGGCAGCGGGGCGGCGGCGGCGGCGGCGCGCCGCTGTAGACTAGAAGTGAGACAGGTTGTGACTGGAACTGAGGTAATCTCATAAAGTCTCAACGAACCTCAACTTCATCTCCATATTCATCCTCAGTTTCAACCTCAATTTGACGTTGATAAGAAATTAAAATGTGCATTACTCAGGGTTTGGTGATCCCCTCCCGATCTGCATACTCCAGACTGGGTCCATCACTCGCAGTCACAGTAGATTGACTTGTTGCACAGTCTTGCATACATGATGTAGTAGACCGAACACGTTTACATGATAATGTCCGGTTATCTCGCCTTCCCGGCTCCAATATTAGGATTGGAATGTTCGATAAAGTATCACGATCACGAATCGATAACAAATTAGTTTTACTACACTTAAAGTAGTTATTGTGTAGAATGCATTTTTTAACTAGATTTTAAACGATAGCAAGCGAACAGTACGACGAACGACACTATGACTACATGAATCTGGTCACTCCTAAGCGTGTAAACAATTGCGGTCGCGGTGGTTGGGCAACCGGCTGCCGTGCAACGTGTCGCGGGTTCGATTCCCGTACGGAGCAACTCTTTGTGTGATCCACAGACACAGATTGTTGTTTCGGGTTGTTTTATGTTTGTAAACGCACCCACGACACAGGAGAAATACCTAGGATTTTTTTTAAGGGAGGAAAATCATCAGACTACTGCTCCCGCCCGGGTGAGGCGGGAGGGAGTGTCAGATTCTTACTGACTAATAACCAACCCGTTCCTTCTCCTGCGCTTCGAGCCGGAGCGGAGCCCTGGTAACCCGTTAGGTTCTCCGCGACAGAAATAATAAGGATGGGGCAAGTTTGAAAAAAAATTGTACTACTGTATATACCTCTAGAAAGGGCGCCACCAGCATAAATGAAACGGAAACTGACTACTGCAGACTGAGACACAAGTAATTTAACTCAAGATGGATTCTATCATTCTAGATATTGATACAAAATTACAAAGGATAAAATAAATAATTGAATTCAAAGTATCTTTGAAGAAACTAAAACATGCAAGGTTAGGTACTACTTAATCTGAATAAAACTACATTGAAGTAAAGGTATTATAATAAACTGATTTATTTAAAAAAACTATTTCATTGTATTCATGGTACGCCATGCAAAAATGACATTATTATAATTTTTAAAGACACGATTTACGCAATACCATTATATTACTCTCAATTGCAAATATATACTGGTGTATTTTTAATTAGTGTTTGTTGAAAGAGGAAGACTTGATTTGTAAATGACTATCAGTAGTTTGGCAGTATATGGCCGCAAATTCATCAAAAATCTGTGGATTGATCTTGACTTAATGACAGAAACTATGGAGTTTGTGTCCATCCATCGTAATCTACAGATTTTAGGCTGAGATTAGCGGGGTTATTATGACGTCATAATGGTTCCATTGAGGAAAAGAAACAGAGCTATACAAGCTCAGCGGACCACTCTGGCTTTGAGACGTCATAATACGCAACCAGTTTTTTAATTTCGGCCGATAGTCGACAACATTGAATAGAAGACTTGGTTGCCATTCAAGAGAAAAATGGCAATTATTGGTAACACAAGGGCTAGTACGAAACGATTAGATAACTTAGGTATGCATGCAAGAAATACCATACATAAATCCCTTAGAAAATACAGAAGAAAGTATAAATGACACCATATCACAACACTTCTGACTTTGGAGATCGAGACTTTAACTATTTAATTATCATAAGATCTGTGAAATAAGGCTTCTTAGCAGTGTGTCAATAAAAAATACACCAGTTCACAAAACAAACATTATCACTTTTTGGAGTATTTATTGCATTACATAATCAACTAGGATTGGGAAATTTAGCATGGGGCATAGACAACGTATTAGTGCAGAACAAGTTTAAAGGCTAAAGTTTTAAATGTTTTAAAACTTAACTAGGTAGCTTTCTTTATAACAATGATGGACTTCAAAATCGGAAATAGTACATAATAGACTTCATATAAAAATCTGACCTTAATATATTTTATCCTATATGAATTCTTATTACATTGGCTAGATGGCTTAGAATTGTTCTGAACATCATCTTGCTTATATTTATAACATTTATTTAATTGGCTCTGACATTTCTCGACCTCCCATTACAATCGCAGGCACATTATATTGTAGATTTTTGCGTGACATTAGCTTGGATGACAAATATATTTAATTCACTAATTACATACAAAATTTAGAATTATTAAAAACCTGCATTGATCTGCTAACTATTTGCTCAAACTACTGATTCATAACAATATCAAAACTTGTACTATAACGCAATCATATTATTAAAAACATTAAAATATTAAAATAGCTATCAACTCTTGAATTTGGTACATATGTATATGCAACTATGACAATAGTAACTATGAAAAAATGCTTCTATAAAATATATCAAATATATAGTAATTAGTTTCCTTATGTGCTCTACAGTACTTTATACCCTAGTTTTATTGCTTGCAGGAAGTGCTATGATTTCCACAACTATGTATATTAATTATAATGTATGACAGTATCTCTATATCACAATAATACAGGCTAAGCATATCAAATAACTATACAGTACCAGTAACCATGAGTGTGGAGTTAGATACTCTAGCAAATTTCTATAACTTTCTAGACAATGTTCTGTTATATACAAAATGTATTACCAGACCCATAATATACATTGGAAGCACTTAAATAAGCAAAAGATTGTATTTCCTAGAATCCGTTACTATGGTAACCATGCTAAATTTCCCTTTAGATAAAATTCATTGCATCATTCATTATATTTTACAATACATGTTTGTAGTAACGACTTGATTATGCAAGTTTCATCTTTTGCCCTTTGTAATATATTCCTGAACTTTAAATTGAAATTCAAGTTTGTCCTTGTTGTACATTTCCGCTGCTTCTATGTTTAATGGGTCTTCGAAATTTAAGAGATCCTGGAACAAGTAAATGTTGTTTTATTATAAATATTGTAGGTATAATAGAGGATATTGAAATTGACTAAACAACTGACATCACAATATCATTCATTTCAAGGAAAATGTTGTTTACCAATAATTGCATTATGTTTATTTAATTACAACTTAACATGAATTGCATGATAATTACAAGTTACAGTTGAAAAACCAAAGAGGTAATAACATTGAACAATACTCACAGTAAATAAAGCGTTTAGTCCCCACACAACATCCTTCAACCTCCTGGTAGGCGCCCAGCCATGCTCATCAATAGAAGTTTGTCTCAGCAGTGACAGACAGACATCACCATCCACATTTATATTGGGGTGCCACAACCTTGTCAGGCATTTCACTCGTGGAGGCTGGAAATTGATAAAGCAAGATTTTAATAAAGACTAGTGGAGAGTAGACTTAAACTGTCAAACACAGCGAGGACACCGGTGACCGCAACCTATTGTTCTTTAATTGTGTCTATAATGACGGTACACAAAGGGTTAATTCTTGTTATTTTTCAATTCCATTCATCTTTCAATATTTCTATTACGTTTTATATGACTTTGACATGTATATGAAACTGATGGCAGAATTAAATATTTCCTGTATTGGAAACTCGGTTGCCAATAAGAAAAAATAAATGTATTTCTCAGACTCAACAACGCATTTGTGATGCCTCTGGGGACTACCAGCAGGTGGATCCTAAACTTTGATGCTATCAATAGTTGTACAATAAATATGCAGCACCTAATTTGCTGAAGCCATTCTCAATTCAATTATGAACATTATTAACAATAGCATATTTATTATAACAAATAAAAAAAATTTTTCAAATGTTCAAAATAAAAAAAACGATAAAAATATTGTAATGACATAAAAAATGTTTTAAAAAATTATTTTATTGGATGTGTTTGGATCCTATTGTTTTTTTTTAAACAGAAACAATAGGATCCAAACACATACAACATAATTTTTTTTGTAAAATAAATGTGAAAGAGACACAAAGCTATATTTACTAGAGGTTAGAAAAGGACAACAACAATAACAGCTGCTTCTTTAATATGTGCTAAACATTACATTTTATTTACATACAAGTTACCTACCACTTGCATACAAGGTGTAGAGGAAGAAATACCAAATAATAATCGTTTTAAAATAAGAATGACCTTCATTGAAGGAAAGGTGTATCTTCAGACAGTTCTAGAAGCATCTGTGACCTCTTCAATTTGAGGTCAAAAAGATAAGTTCCTTTGTGAGAAGGTTAACAAACTATTTCAACACTAAAACAACAATCATTGATGTGTTAATTTTGCTCCAATTTTAGTAGACAATGTTTTATTATGAAACATTATCAAGGATAATGATTTAGACAATTTTAACGACATTTGAATGGATAATTAATGTGTATAAGTACATGTTTGTTTGCAAGCTAGACTGGCTATAAATAAACATTTTCGACATACTTACAGCCATATTATAGTCTTCTGTGACAAAAACACTAAATTTGAACTTGCCTCCCAACCAGTACCCTTCATCTGGTTCTACAGTCAATATGAACTCACTCAACACGTTAGGGTCTTCGAAATATACACTACACGTAGCGGGAAGGTTCTCATTCATCTCCTGCACTTCTTTTATCAACAATTTATCCCTCACTGATATTCTTCTCACCACTGATTCGTTCGTAGTCAACCCATTCGTAGGTTCCACTGCAGGGTGATCCTTTTTCAATTTCCTATTAAGCGTAATCATTGTTTAAAGCTATATGTATTTTAGTTTGAGAGAATATGTATCATATCAGACGTAAAAAATTAATTAGAAATAATATTATTTTTTTCTCAAAACGCAAATTCGTACGCGTCTGTGGCTGTCAGAAAATACAGAAACTGATTAATGAATGACAGCTGACAGTAGATTAGACAGATACTATTTTAATCAAAACCCATTTTAGATCCAAAATTTCCTAACTCCTTTAATAATATTAAAAAAACTCGTTTTGACTACGTAGAATCCAAATTAGGTGAAGGTGATATAAGTGGAGCCGCCAGGCTTTTATTCAGTAGTGACGTGGTTGCTCCCTACTCTTCAGAAACTTTTGAAGCTCTGAAGAGTAAACACCCGCCTGCTAGGGCTGACCTCACTTTTCCCGATCCTCCTGAACATGATATCCATATTTTCACCGCAACTGTCCAGCAAGTAGCTGCAGCCGTTGGCTCCTTCCGCAGTGGCTCTGCTGGTGGACTTGATGGTCTGACTCCTCAACATCTTAAGGATTTGACGGGGCCAGACGTCGGGGAAGCCGGTGAGTCTCTTCTGAAGGAGCTAACGGTTCTGGTTAATTTAATGCTCTCCGGTAATGTCACAGATGCCGTTATCGACATTTTGTACGGGGCCAATCTATGTGCCCTACGCAAGAAAGATGGCGGCATACGCCCCATTGCCGTAGGATGTACTTACAGGCGTATGGCAGCCAAGTTGTGTTGCAGCTATCATAAAGATGCGCTCATGTCGCACTTTCAACCCCTCCAACTAGGCTTCGGCTCAAAAGGGGGTTGTGAGGCTGCCGTACACGCCCTATCATCTTTCTTGAATGCAAACGAAAGTGAGGTCATCCTTAAGGTTGATGTAAAAAATGCATTCAATTCCATCAACAGGGACACTTTGTTGGCTGAAGTTAAAAAAGAATTACCTGAAATTTACAGTTTTATTTGGCAGTGCTATAGACAACCTTCAAAATTATTGTATAAAGACATAGATATATAACATAGATGTGTGACTATTGTCTACGGGTAGAATTTAAGATCCATCTCGACGGTAAATTCATAAACATACTGTTGTTTCTTTTTTACTTATGTTTCTTTGCTTATGCAGAAAGAGACAACACATTATTGTCATTCTGGCAATCATTTTTTGACGTCATCAAAAATACCTAGTTCTGCCTAATTCGCCATCTTGGTCTCTGTTATCAGTGCATGTCAGTGGTACATCAGCTGTCAAAGCATTGGTCAATAATATTTTGTTACGAAAATTTTTAGAATTCCTGTTATTTTTGTGCGTGGTAAGCAAAGAAATTATTGGTTAGTGAGAAGAACTATGCCCGGGTGCAGTGTTATTGGATGTAGCACTAAAAATATCACTAAATCGGCAGGTGTAACATTACATCGGTAAGTACTGTTATTTTTCATTAAAATATCTCTGTTTTTTAAACTATTTAAGTGAGCTTGCTGCAAGTTGACTAAATACAATACTTTTCTAACTAATGCAGTGCTTATTTTCATTAATTTTAGTTGAAATACGTCTAAAATTTTTTTCATTGAAAAATAGTGATGTACATGTTTGTTCCCGTATCGATAATTTTATCGTTCATATTAATAAATGCTTCAAAAGTAGAACAACAACTATACTAAATTCTGAATGATAAAGTGCATTAATTTGACATAATGACAAAATGCAAAAACATTAAATATGTACTCATCAAAAATTTTATTTTATCGACAATATTCCACCATAATCAATACTTACGTAATGTTATAACTAATACAAAACATGAATAATTTTTGTACAATATAAGATACGGAAAAATACTTGTGGGAAAAGCATTTATTTCTAAATTGTATTTTTATCAAATACCGCTCGAGAGACTCCAATGAAGCAAACAAATGAAATATAACTCTTCCGCTATCTATCACTATCATTGTAATGTACAAACATTTTCATTCAGACCTTAGTACAGTACCTATAGAATCTATAGAGATAATCTATGTTCGATTGAATCAAGTAAGTTAAATTATACTATTTATGTTGCAGCCTCTAGCCAGATCTGTGCATGAAAATAAACTTGGAACCAGTTCTGAAGTCGTCTCGAAATCAGTCAGTCGTCAGTTGCAGATTACATTACTGGAAAACAGTACGAAAAATACAAAGATATTGTAACTATATTATGTATAAATCTTGATTTTATGAATACTTTGAAACAGTCTTATTTTTCGACCCTCAAAAATTACTTAACCTTAAGTATGTAAATGTTAACCAGTTGATGGTAAATCCTTTTCATAAATTACGATACATATGTATCGTGAAAGGTATGATGTGAATGTATGGACACGATCGACCGGAGTAATAGTGCACGCAGTAACTACTAAATATATTTCGCTAATATTTTTAGTAATGTTTAGTAGCTAGATAAAAATCAAATCCAGATGAATCATAAAATAATGATATTTTATCGATAAATCAACTAAAACCAATACCAAAATATCGATACTTCTACAGTTTCAATAGTCACATCCCTAGTTCTATCCACCATTGCGAATGACCAAGTGAAGTTTAGGTAGGCACGTTTTTTTCGTAGTTGCTTCACATCCATAGTCTTATCATATCAGTGTATAAAGACAAAGTTTTGGATTCTGCGGTAGGCTGCCAACAAGGTGATCCTCTTGGTCCAGTCATTTTCAGTCTGGCCATTCACCCTATTATTCGGCAACTTAAATCTAAATTTAATGTTTGGTATTTGGACGATGGAACCCTAGGAGGTGACGCAGATACTGTTTTCCATGACTTACAGCTTTTGATTTCTGAATTTAAATCCATCGGATTAGAATTAAATATTTCTAAATGCGAAATTTACCTTCCGGACAAAATTATCGATAGTCAACAAATTTTAAACACTTTTTCTACCGTAGCGCCGAATTTAAAAATTGTTGATAAAAACTCTCTTCTTCTCCTGGGTTCCCCAATTTTCGAAAACAGTTTCTCTGATTTCATAAACGAGAAAATTAAAAATTTCTGTGACATTTCCGATAGACTTTCCAAAATTAATCTACATTGTGCATTTACTTTAATTCGCTATTGTTGTTTCGGCCCAAAATTTATGTATTTTCTGCGTGCTTCCCCTCTGTGGAAGCATCCGCATATTCTGGACCAAATTGATCAAATTATCCGTGACACCTTAACTTCACTTTTGAATGCTTCTATGGACGATCGTGTTTGGCTTCAAGCCACACTACCAATTCGTTTTGGTGGTCTAGGCGTCCGCAAAATTACCAGTGTAAGTTTACCGGCGTTCATCTCTTCTGTCCACAGCACTAGAACGTTAACAAATAAAATTTTAGCTGGTGTTGACGCTGAACCTGATGTGCCGTGTCTGACCGACGCGATGAACGTCTGGACAGAAACATGTCCCAATACAGCCTTGCCTGTCAACCCTTCCTCCCAGAGACAATGGGACGAGCCGCTTTGCAGGTTGGTGCATAATAATCTAATTAATACCAGCACCAATCCTGCGGAGTTAGCTCGCCTATTGGCTGTGGGTGAGTGGGAATCAGGCCTCTGGCTTCAGGCACTTCCGTCACTCAATATTGGCACGATGTTGAATGACTCAACTTTTCGGCTTGCTGCTTGCTTGCGTGTAGGTGCACCCTGTGTTTCTCCGCATCGCTGTCAATGCGGTGAGATGGTCGACCACCTCGGCCACCACGGCCTATCGTGTAGCAGAAGCGCGGGCCGGATAGCTCGACACGCCAGCATTAACGACATTATCCGCCGAGCTCTTATCATCGCCGGTGTGCCAGCTGTTCTGGAACCAAAGGGTTTGGCACGCGACGATGGTAAGAGACCCGACGGTATGTCCATTATGCCCTGGAAGCTGGGAAGGTCTTTGGTGTGGGACGCAACCTGCGTTGACACCCTTGCACCTTCTCATCTTCCAGTAACGGCGGGTTGTGCTGGTTCGGCTGCTGCCTCTGCAGAAAGCCTCAAGCGGCGCAAGTATAACAACCTTGCTGGTAGTTATATCTTTGAGCCGTTTGGGGTTGAGACGCTAGGTCCGTGGGGTCCGAGTGCACTTAAATTGTTCCAAAACATTTCAAAACGCCTGGTTGACACATCTCGTGACCAGAGGGCTGGTCTTTTTCTCGGTCAGAGGCTAAGCATTGCCATACAACGTGGCAATGCTGCCAGCCTTCTGGGTACTTTCCCCACTGACGTCGATGCGGACGAATTTTTCGACGCTTTATGTAAATAGTTATTTTTGTTTTTTTTCTTATAATTAATTTTAATCTTTAGTTGTATATAGGTATTTAATTTAGTAATATTTAGTTTTAATTTTTTAGTTTTAATTTAGTAATATTTAGTTTTAATTTTTTTTTTTAAGTAATAGTTAGTTTTTAATTTAAGTTTTTTATTTGAATAAATGAATAACAAGTAAAAAAAATCAAAACATGAATACCGGTATTTTTAGTTATGGACCTGGACCTTAGATCTGGGTGCTTACTCTTGAAATCAATCGCAATGTCAATGCAATTTCAATCCAATAAAGTCTCAATAATTATGCAATGTCAAAACTATACAACCCCTATCCTAGCTATTAAAATAACATTCAGAGTACGGAATATAAAGCCGAACTCAATACCATTTCGGTCTTTAAATATCCACGCAATACGGATGTAATGTGCGCTAATGTTGCAACTCAAGAGTACGAAATTTTACAATATCAATGTCGATCGATCGGAATTGGATTCAAGAGTAAGCCTCCTGGCCTGCCGAAACCTAGAACGAACGCAATTTGATTTCAATCTATATATAACGTCTGTGCAAATAACTGTCATAATAAAGTCATAGTTTAATTTTATGTCAAAACGTGACTAATCAGCTGCTGGCTGCGAACTAAATTATAAAATTGTGAATGAAATCATTCCAAACAAACACAATATAAGCTTTTACAAATATCTATCTAGTAAGATAAGGATTAGTGAATCGTGATGGCAGATATCGTATGGCCGTGGCAGTATAATTTTCCTCCATTTTTTACGTAAGTAATTTTGTTTATTTATCCAGTAATAATAGCTTCATACTTTGAAATAGAAAACATGAAGTTGTTAGGTAAATCTTGGAAGTATATCAATGAAGGAAATGCCCATATCGTTGTGCAAATATTAGATACAGATTACGTGATACGGCTAATAAAAGAAGATGAGAGAACAACAGACCCAAAGAATGTGTATGATCACGTCAATTTTGTGAATTTAGTTATGATACCATTGTTGGGCAACAAATTCTATGGTAAAGAAGAAGCAATAGAAATGTCTCAATATGATTTAGAACAGCTTAGTAAACTGCTACTGCCATATCGTCCAAAAAACAGAATATTTAAGTCAGAACTCAGCCAGATTGCCATAAAGGCCACTAATTTGTCTATAGTTAGTACTCAATGCGACACAAACTTCTGTATTGAGATCAAACCAAAAGAAGGTTTTATATCAAGTAGTCTTCGGAAGTATTCAACATGTTACTATTGCTTGAAGCAACATTTGAAGCTTCAAACGGGAGCTATCAGACAAACAAGCAAGTACTGCCCCCTAGACTTATTTTCTGGAGAAAGAGAGAGAATGAAACTTTCCTTGTCAAATATGATAAACAATGCACAAAATAACTTTAAAATATTTAAAAATGGTTTACTTGTATATAATGAAAAATCAGAACAGAGTGATTTTGATAATACTTTGAAGGATATAAATTGTTTTAGTGATTTAAATCAATTCCTAGACTTCATAATTGATATTTTACTAAGTGATATCAATGAACCGTATATTAAACTTCAAAAATCTAGTAAAATCTGTATGAATGATAAACCAAACCAATGTTATGAAAGTAATAGTTTAAAAAGTAATTCTTTTCTTTATAAGTTATTGCAATTGCAAAAAATGTCCGACATGTACCTGTTTGATATGGAAAATGAGAGAAATAAAAATTCCAATTATGTTACTAAATTAATAGAACAACTTACGACACTGGATTTGGATCTAAACAAAGAAAATGATAAGGAGGCTTTTATTAAAACAACAAATCCGATACATTTGGCCTTGATATCAGCAGTAGCTAAAGATTGTTCAATAATGATAAGTTTTTCTACAAATTTTGTTGAAAACTACCCTTATGTTGATACTGGGGACTCAAAGATATTCTATAAATTGGCTGTGACGGACTTGGAACCTAAATCTCCCAACACATTGTATAAAAGGAAGGACACAGAGAAGAAAATGATAGAAATATATGAGAAGTCCAAAGAATCAATAAATAAGGAGCAATAATGTAAGTATTTGAACAGATCCGGAAGAAATTTGAATACATTTTACTGTTATATTAATATTCTTATGAAACATTTGGTTAAAATAAATTAATTTGTCATTATTAAGTTCCTAATCAAATAGTTATGTGAGTAACCTGAAAAATATAATAATGAATGTTTTAGATAAGTAAAACAACAGTTTATCCTTAATGTGAATAACTGAATTGTTAATAACTCATTCACAATTCAGTTGACTGCCTCGTTGGCCGAGTGGTCGCAATTGCGACTGCCGAGCAAGGGGTCTCGGGTTCGATTCCTGGGTCGGGCAAAGTATTACTGGGTTTTAAAAAAAAATCTCAGTAGTACCACGGAGTCTGGCACTGTGCCCGGTATATGGCAATAGGCTCACCCCCTATTACATGGGACTCATAATATAAATAGTGAAAAGTGGGTGTTACATTGTACAGTTGTATAATGTGCACCTCTGCCTACCCCTTCGAGGATAAAAGGCGTGATGTTATGTTGTTAATAACTCATTAACTTGTTGTTTCAGAATCCAACCTCATACAGAAACAAGAGCAAAACAACTAGAAGCATGGCAACAACTAATCACAGAATATTTAAAAACCACAAAACAGTCAACGATAGACATAAGAGAATCACAAAATAGTCCGCTGTTCAATAATACTGAGATTAACAGGAAGCTGTCTCAAGAAGCCATCCTAACTATCCTTGACGATATGGCGAAGACTGGAAGGGCGGCGCCAGTAGATAAAAGTAAAAATGTATGGGAAGTGTACTGGCACTCGCTTGATGAATGGGGCAACTTGATATACAACTGGGCTTGTAATAATGGAATGAACAATTCTGTCTGTACCCTGTTTGAGTTGAGGGAAGGTGACAATACTGCTGACCAAGGTAAGCACAGATTGGTTGACTACTTGGAAATGTTTTGATTAAGTTTATATTATAAGTGTCGTGAGATATACTACATTAATTATTATGTTTTCGGGTTACTCACGTAACTGTTTGACAAAGAACTCGACTAATTTCAAGCCATGCTAGAGGCTCATGTTCATGAGCAGCATTCCGCGACCTACTCATGCGATGCGACAGTTTTACACGTTCCTCGTCTAACTGAACGTGAGTAAACCGAAAACATAATGTAGTAGCTCGGAGTCTGGAATAGTGCCCGGTATAGGCTCACATGCCCCATAAGCTCCTATTACATAGGACTCATAACATAAATAGTGAAAAGTGGGTGTTACATTGTACAGTGGTATAATGTGCACCTGCCTACCCCTACGAGGATAAAAGGCGTGATGTTCTGTTATGTTATTTAACTGTACATAGTTAAATCATAGGTCCATACAGCCTACACACTGTAGTGGTAAATTTAAACTGTACACTGCATTATAGTAGTCAGTCTTTCATGTAACGAAACCAAAAAAATTTAATATTTCAGAGTTCCACGGCCTCGACATGAATGTGTTAGTGAAGGCTTTAAAGAATTTAGAAGTAAAAGGAAGATGTGAACTTATGGAGTTTGATGACAACCAGGGAGTGAAGTTCTTCTGAGGACCATGGTATAGCTAGCTCTGTTTCTAAGCAATTATTATAAGTACACAGTTTTAATACATAAATGTTATAAATACATTTTGTTAAGTTATAACCATTTTTTAATGTTGAAATATATATTATATTTAATTCATATTTTTAATGTTTTTGTTTTATTGTTACAAATAGAAAAATATTATTTTTCAGAAGTTGTAACTATATTCCTTTGCGCTGTATGGTTGGGTAAATTAATTAATGAGACTATAAAACACTTTTTATTTATTTATTTTATTTTATTTCAATCAATCCGTGTAAAATTGTACAGTTTCAAAATTGATCACCTACAATAATATGATACAAAGTACTTAGAAAAACTACCTAATTATGTAAAAACTTTACAAATTGTATTTTTATATATATAATCTAGTTTTTATTACTGTGGTAGGTAGTTGATCCGAAATTGAAATTGGTGGTCCGATGATCGAGACAGCTCAATGATATTAGGCCAATGTGACTTACTGTTATTTATTCCTACTTGACTGTCCACAAACCTGTCAAAAATATCCAATATCTACACACATTTACCAACTTTCTAGGACTAAAGAATTGTGAACATGCTTTCGATATTCCGACTTTTATCTTAAATATGATTTTAATAGTGTAAGTTGATAAACTTGATCCCACAAGTTCACAAGCCTTTAATTCAATGAAAGTTAGTACCTACAGCCATTATAAAGGATAAAGTTACACATACACTTAACATTTATTTTAATAATTATTATTAAACAATCAGTCTTCAACCAAAATACAATTTTAACAACTATTGATTTGCATTAACAACAAATAAGTTAGAACTATGTACACGGGTGACTTAACCGTTATTTTGAAATTCAAAAATGTAAAAAAGTTGTATTTATAAATTGTGCCTTCCCGAATTGTACTCTACTTATTGATAAATACACTCTATATTGGGGTACATAAAGCTTAAAATAGTAACGGCAATATAGATTTCGCTATTTCATTTGCTATCTACAATTAGGTATAGGCATACCTAATCGCATCAAAAGTGTTTAAAAATATTAAAATCAATTAACAAACGAGTAAAGGGAAGGTATTTACTGAGTTAATAAATATTTGTTTTTTTAAATAAACAACTGAAAACAACTTTACAAAACAAATCGCAGCGCGTCGTTGATTGGTCACATTTTAAAATGTCAAAATATGATTGGCTGTACGAGTGTGCTAAGTCAATACCCGTATCTCTGTCGAATTATTGAATGAATAGTTAATATAAAGCGTGTACCCCAAATACATCTAATACTTAAGTAGGTGTACAGATCTAAAATATATTACGAAGACCTGATATCGGCGATATACTTACAATTATCTACAAACTATTACATCACAGATATTTTACAACAGAACTATTATTATTTTGGAATGTAAACAATCATTTCAATAAATTTATAATTATTATTATTACCTATTTAACATCAACCACAGGACCGTTTTGATTCATTGCATTGGAATAATCAGCTCTTATAATCCATACAACTAAATAATTAATTTTAATAACAGATAAAATAAAATTTGTTATGTGTGTTTTAGGTACTACTAGTACTACCTAGTGTCCTAGGCAGAATAATCACGTACTGAACCATTTTATAAAGTAAAATGTTCATACAGTCACGTCTTATCTCCACGATCGATCGATTAGTAACATTCGAGATTGTTCATAAGAAAACATTTGAATTCATCACTTTATGGCCTTAGTGAATTAGCCTCTACTCGCAGCCGGTCCTGCGTAACCCGTACTCACTGAACCAAAATTATTCATACAAAAGGAACAATCATAACTTCGGCATCCGGTATAATACAACAAAGTCTTTAACAACTACCTTACAAATGGTCGCTACATTCTAAAGCTGCATTGCAGTAGCCATTACTGCCTCTCTCCAATGTCCCGTTGGCTACATTCGTGACGTTCCCATTGGTCTTCTCGGCGCAGACCACTAGGTCTACTGAGGGAACTACGGCGTTCCCATTCTTACTGCCCGGTGGACGGTAGAACCACCATGCTAGGAAGAAGAACAGTAGAGAACAGAGCTTGCCCACCAGTGCTATACCTAGCATGTACCTGAAAAAAGTAACAATATTAGAAAATGGAGAGACAGCCGTAGAAAATTAAAAATAGATAACATTGATATGACAGTCAGCCAAAATTGGAAAAGCCCCGTCTTACCTGCTCATATTAATATTGTCATACTGCAAGCAAGCGCCAGTCTTGTTACAAGAGGTAGACCACAGGGAACATGACAGGTCGATGAGGAACCCAAACAGCAGAGGTGCAGGAATTGTACCCAGCAGACGGACTTTTATCCACTGGATTCCTAATGCGAAGGAACGCTGGTCCTCTCGAACACACCTGGAGAAAATGATAAAGAATTATCAGTCATCAGATTGAATATTTGCAGCAAATCAGATGTTTTATTTTCTACCTGATATTTACCTCAAGGTGGCTGACAACGCAGGCATGGTAGCCAGGAACGTGAACAGCATGACTCCGAACGACATGCAAACGAACACCCAGAGGAGTGGACAGTCCGTTGAACAGATGCTGTTGATGGCCTCGTAGGATATTGTTGAGTTAGCTTCTGGAAAAATAAACAGTTTTTGATAAAAAACATATTTAGTCTTTCTTTAGTGCAGATCTATGAGCCTCTTTAATTAAATTTGCTCCTTAAACTCACCTCCTTCAAGTTCATACGTCGGTAGCGTCATATTTTCTTTAGTGAGCACACAGGAACACTGGTGGAATAGCTGGGCGGCTCCCGCGAGGGTCTGCCTGGTGCAGCCAGCGTGGCAAGCTGAGTAGTACACGTTGCCGTCAGCTCCGCACACGGGGGAGTACGGGGCGTTGATACACGAACAGTCCGTGTTGCACATTGCTGTGAGACTGTCCGCTCTAGGAAAGGGAAATGAAATTTAATGATAATTAAATCTGTATATATCTACCTAGGAGTTCTGTAACATTTACATGTGTAATAAAATCAATTGTAATAGGTTAATTGAGTTCTTCTTACCCTGGCACTGCAGGACTATTATACATAACGGTGACTCCAGCGAAAGGGTAGTCGTCACAAGTGAGCACGAAGCCGAAGGTGAAGGCAGCCGCCACCACAGTGGCTGCCACACACAGCTTGATGATACCGGCGCATGCCAGCTGCCAGCGCTTCACCAGCCATCCGCCGAGGAATGTACCACCTCCACCTGCTGGTACTGTGATCACTCCTGGAAACAGAAGCACGTGTATAATGGAATAAGGAAGCAAGTTGAAAATAATCTTGATGACACAACCAAATTTTATTTTTTTCTTTGAAACTAAACTTACCCAAAAGTAAAGCAGCTTCTGAGGCGTTGACAGCGAATTGGTTCTCGATCAGTTTTGGCAAGAATGCAGCGAACCCTGATATAAGCATGCCTTCAGTGGCACCTGCCAGGTTGAGGAAGAGGAAGGTGGGGTTTCGGAGCAAAGCAGCTGCAGCACGAGGCAACTCGTGCAGGGCGCTAAAGGCTGCTGATTTAGAGGCAGCTCCTTCATGAGCTTCAGATACCTTCGACGCTCTAATCTCTGCTGCGCCTAAAATATGAAGTACAGAACTTAGTGATCCATTTCTTATGATGTATTGACGAGCTAGGTAATCGATACTGTTGGCTCTTTGTTACCTACCAGGCAGTTCATGAGGGAAGGCCATCAACGGTATCGCCACGATGAGGCACAGAATGGCGGACAGAATGAACCCTATCCACCAGGCACCAATCCATACTGAGCTGACAGGAGTTACGCCTAACCTGAACAGATAATTTACAAAATTACAAAGTTATGGTTGGAAGCAACTGGCTGCCGTGCAACGTATCGCGGGTTCGATTCCTGCAACGAACAACTCTTTGTGTGATCCACAGATTGTTGTTCCGGGTCTGGGTGTCATGTGTAGGTATGTGAAATTGTATGTTTGTAAACGCACCCACGATACAGGAGAAAATCCTAGTGTGAGGCAACGATTTAAAAAAAAAATAGTAGGTAAGTGAGTCAATACTAAAATGTAAATAGGTACTGGTAATGGCGTATTGTACCTATGTGTCTACAGTTTTAAATAATTATTAACATTAGCAGTAGACTTAAAAGCTAACCTTTCGTATTTACGTACCGATTGTTACCAACTAGAAAAAAATAACTACATCATAAACTCGTGTTTCTATTCTTATTGTCAAACTTTTCAAAAAGCGTAAAATGCCAAGGATCGAAGGGGGACTCATTTTCTACAATATTAACCCCATAAACGCTGTGGCAATGTAATTTTCATTCGTAAGGGCATAAAGAAAACAACTCGACAGCTTAGAACTTGGCTGGAATCACATAAAAAGTAAAATTAAAACTCCATAACGCTCTCATACTCGTTTAACTCGCGTTTCCCCTTTTTGAATATGTCCCTAGACAAAAAACGAGCAACAGATCTGGAAACTCCGTTATTGCTGTAATAACTTTTGTAGGCGCTATTTTCGCAGGGACTATTAGGTGGGTAAACAGAGGGGCATTGCGAGGTATACGTTATTAGGTAGCGATGCTCGATTGTTTTCTTATGCAAATCGGACGTTTACTCAACAATCTAACGTTGCTCTGCGGTTCGCACTGGCGGGCTTGACTCCACAGAGATGGATTGGTTCATACCATTAAATTAATTTTCCTTTATTACACATCTTAACACAAATACCTCACTCCTTGTGATTAACTCATTTGCATAAGTGATGTGATGATTAACTCATGTGCAATAAGTGACCAAAATAGAAGAAATAAGAACTAAACTTAAATTAGAGAATAAATTACATGGGTAAATCATAATCTATCACCATGTGATTTCTTTTTGTCTTTAATAAATTTATTTGAGTAAACCAACAAAATAAATGTAATTCAATAAATAAATATCAATAAAAAGGGGTTGCACCCCAGCATCACTCCGGTCCTGTCTACTCAAATAAGAGCCATCAAGTGTGCATGTTCCTCTTAAAATGAATAAGAATAATAGAACCGCTCTTACTGCCTGCCTTTTGATTGAATTATAATTTTAATATAACGACTCGTATGGTAATTATGGTTATTTTATTTGCGAGCCACATTAGATTCGTTCCAAAATTATTCATCACTGGCTGTACTGAAAAATATTGGTACAAGGTATACTAACATTCAAATTGAGGAGAAAATATGGCGATGGATGTACGAGTACCATTTCTCTTTTACTTAAGCGGTAAATAATAATAATCAAACAAGTTAAAGTCCATTTGTTTAAGTGCTGAAAATCTTACTGCAAAGTATAATTTATTATGAGGATGTACTCACTATTCAATACCCTCGTCTTATGATTAGGTTTATAAAATTAATCAACATGTAAGGATTCTCTTTGCCAGTAATTTAATCAGTTAACGGAATTAAACGGTAAAGCCAATGCAAAGAGGTCGTTCAAAATTCGTACCGCGGAAAATCATATTTCGTTGCAGAAGCCATGAAAGTATAAAATGGTGGAATTAATTTGGCTGAAAAGTTGCCTGAACAGCGTACCTCCGTGGTTCACAATGAGATGAAAGCGAGAGGGCAAGTTGGCTGAATGAAGCCGTGTCGTTGCCGAGATGAAATATTAAAAAAAATGTGAACAAGACGCGGCGTGCGGTGGAAACTGGAAAGCGCGGGAAACGCACAGTTGAGGTTATTGTCGTTTGCTTAGGAATATGGAATAGTTGATTGGCGCACATTTACGGAAACGGAATACGAAGAATTGGAAATTACTTTGTGGAAAACTATTAACTACGGACCTATCTGTAATACCTACCTACTTCTTCCTTGTAAACAATAAAATAACTATGTAGGTAAGTAATACTCACGCGTCGGAGTCGACAGTGAGGAAGTCTGTGTAAATGGTGAGCATCTGTCCACCGATCACATAGCCCATAGCTGGGCCCACCACCGCCATTGTGTAGTATACACCTGCAGACAAGAATTTTTCAAATTAACAGGAGCATTTAAAATAAATTTGAAGGATCACGTTTTATAAAGTATTGTTCAAGTTGAAAGAGACAAAAGTGACCCTCGTTGAGATTGAAAGCTCTACCATCTACCCGTAGATTACGTCCGAAATAACTTTTTAAACCGTTGCCCCACACTAGGATTTTCTTCTGTGTCGTGGGAGTGTTTACAAACATACAAGTTCACATACACATGACACCCAGAACCGGAACAACAATCTGCAGATCAGACAAAGAGTTGTTCCGTGCGGGAATCGAACCCGCGAAACTTTGCACGGCAGCCAATTGCCCACCCACCGCGCCAAACGTGCAGCCAAAGAAGCTGACGAAAATCGAAGCCGTAAAAATATTGCATAACAGCAAAAAGCCAAATACCAGTAAATATTCGTTCATACATTATTGTGTGCTAGTGATCGATCGATACAACAACATTAAAATCGATATAATAACACCCCAACACCATTAAAATAAAAAAGAACACAAAACAAAAACCTCTTTGACGGCGCATTCTAAAAAAACAATTGAACCTCTCACCTAGTCGATGGTGCACACGGGAGCTCCATTACACTTAGGACACATTATGGCACGGACAAACACAAGAAAATAACCCGTCGAGTGTAAAAAGCATAAGTATTGCGTTTCTTAGCGAGCGCCCTGTTTTCACAGTTAAAAGCTGCGACTTAGAAGTGGTAAGGTTCGTAAAGTAGCGAGAGATATTTATAGCCAACGATCAGAGTACGGCTAAAGTACCTATACGTAAAAGTAACGTGCAACTAAAGGTTATTTTGAAGCAGTTCTATGTTAAGAAAGTCCTTTTAAAAATATGGTCCGGACAACAGCTTGTACATATGTGCTCAAATGGAACTGGATTTCACGTAAAAAATAATTTAATCGACTTTGCCAATACAGTTGGCAAAGCATGGAGAATGACGAAGCATTGCAAGCAGAAAAATGAAGCATGATCTACCTAATTTTAAAATGTAATAAATGATGCATTGTGATGTAAGTACATCGTTCATCTCCAAAAATAGGGGGTGTTGTCACAAAAAAATCTTAACGTATAGAAAGTAAAAAGGAAAGCGAACTACGACATTTTTCCGTCCATACAGCCAGTAACAAAACCTTATAATATCGCTTTACGCAGCATAGCAAAGAATGTACACAAATGTAACCCTCGATATCTAGTGGGGCACACATCGCGTCATCTGACGGCACTCTGAATACGTTTCCTTGTCCTCAGAGACTCTGGAGAGCTCAGAGTGGAGGATCGACCGCCATATTCATTCGGTTTGTTTGGCATACGAGATTGGAAAGCAAAAATTACTTTTTTTTCAAGTGGTTAACGGTTTAAGATTGAAAAATCCTCATTCTCTGGATGACGTCCCTTGCCGGCGAGTAGATAAAAGCTCTTCAAATTCTGAGATTGAATTCGATTCCGAGGATAGAATGGGAGAACACACTGAATGTAATTATTACAGATAGATATCTCAGTTGGAAATAGGGTTCAGTTCGATTTTCAGTTTAGAAATAAACTGCAACGTCTATGATTTCTGTAGGTATAACTATTTCTCTTATAGAAAGCCCTAAAATATTCGCTCAACAAAAATCCTTCTAAAAATAACTAATTACTTAACACTCATATCGCTCTATAAATTCCATTTAACTAAAACATTTTTTTAACCCTAAACTGAGACCGTTGGGGTCCATCGGACCCATACGATTGTATAGTGGTCATATCGGCGAGTGCTTTCCTGTGTTTATAGCGGTAACCCTGTGCGCACTATGAGGGTTAATAACTTAGAACAAAGAGCCGTTTAGAAAGCTTTTGTAATATTATTTTCAATATGGGTTGTTCAATAAAAGGATATGTCGGTTTGAGGTACTGGAGTACCTATTTAAGTGCCCAAGGGGGGATGTAGTAGGAATGATCATTAGACCGCAGCGAAATAATCGAATCTACCTCTAAAGTAATCGTTTAGGAGCCTGTTGAAGCTTTTTCTACTAGAAGAATTTTTATCCGTCAGATAGGTCTCCCGTTATCTGCCAGTTAGTAACGGCATCGAATTACTGTGGGTAACCAGTAAATTGATATCATTAGGTATCTATGGTCGAATCGCTCTGTTTCATACAGACTTGTATTGGAGACGGTTATCATTCGATTGACAAATGTAACTGTTTCTATTTACAGTATTTTTTTAGTTCATCATGTCTTGTATTAACAAGAGTTTTTAGTAACAATATACTTAGTTAATAATTAATAATAGTATTAATTTACTATTTTGTGTCCTATTATCAAGAAGCTATATTCTTACTTGCCCGCAATTTCGTACGGAATCCCATTTTGTCCCGTCCTCGTGATTTTCGGTAAAAAGTAAAAAGAAGTATTGGATAAAAAGTATCCTATGTCCGTCTCCTGGTTCTAATCTACCTCCCCACCAATTGTATTGGCCTATTATCAAGAAGCTATATTATCGCAATTTCGTACGGAATCCCATTTTTTCCCGTCCTCGTGATTTTCGGTGAAAAGTAAAATAGAGGTATAGGATAAAAACTATCCTATGTCCGTCTCCTGGTTCTAATCTACCTTCCCAGCAATTGTCATCTAAATCGATTTAGCCGTTCTTGAGTTATAAATAGTTCAACTAACACGACTTTCTTTTATACATTTAACAATGTTTCTCTCAACATACAGGAAAAGAACATCTTCATTTCTTTCAGGCAAGTATTAATTATAATATAATTGTACCTATTAAACTGTCAAACACCAAGCGGTCACCGGTGACCGCGACCTATTGTTCTTTAATTGTGTCTATAAAACCGGTACTCGACGAGTTAAATACTACTTTAACATACATTAGTTAACTTACGAATTTTTAAATAGAGTATAACTACCTAAGAAGAGTTTTATCAGGGCTAATGTGGCGGCAGGTTAAAGAAAGCAATGAAAGCTCTAGTACTAGATAGTTCACCGATATATCGTTTTTCACAACAAAGACTAACAACTAAATATACTCATTGTAATTAAAGTTACCTAAATAAACAGAAGACATCTTCTTAGACACGTTCTCGTCTATGTAGGTGACGCCGAGGGTGAATAGTGGTGTAGCGCCCGCGCCGTGCAACAGTTGCGCGAACACGAACACTGCAACTGCCCATGCGCCGCCCTCCGACGGCACGTTACCCTCGCAACTGTCTGTCAGCTGAAAATAAATAAGCGTTTTACAAATACATAATGTAACACTTACGTGTCCGCAGTTATGCTAAGGGAGTCTTGTAATAGGACGGGAGTTAACACGGGCATAGTATTGGTCACAATTTTGGAAAAATCCTAATAACACATTTGTCCGAATTAAGATTCGAAACCCGAAACCATTTACTCAGCAGTCACACTTATCTATAACAGACAGTATGTTACACTAACATTAATAAAAATATGAGAAATTATTAGTCATACAAATCTCCTTGGGCCGAAATGGTCTATTTCCAGCCTAACGATTCAATGTGATTATCGACAGCCGTAAAACTATAATTAATCGGATAACGACGTCGCAAGGCAATCAACGGTTACTCTATAAATAGGGCGAATAAATTGGAGAAATAATAAACTAGAGGTAACAGAATATCTGTAAGTATAGAGACAGGTGGGAAGTAATTTAATTCTGCGCATTGAATCAGTCTGGACAGCTAATTAGAATGCTTTCCCATTCAATTAATACTTAATTTTGTTCTGACTGCTGCTGGGAAATAATATTAGCTGCTTGTTTTCCAATTCTCATCTAATAATCAACTTTAATACTGTGTAATAATAAAAAAAATACGTATCTATAATCATACTTTATTAAATTTTATTTAGCCGCCAAAAAGAAGGTACATAATAAAACAAATAAAAACGAAGTAGGTAAGTACAAGCTGGTATCGGTTGTCCAGACGACATTTTCAGTCAGATATGGATGGTGATTCAATCCGATTAATCACAGACATTGGTCGCATTGTGTTACGAAGGCCGCATATTGTTGGCGGCCTGGCTGAATGCATCGTGCCTGTGCCTCTGCCCACATTGAAGTTCATTCATTCAGATCCGGGAGCCATAGACAAGAGCCTAAAGTTTAACGTAAAATTGAATGAACATTTGAGGAGCAAAGTTTTGATTGAAAATGGAGTGTTACCTATAATCTTAATTACTTAATTTCAAGTTTGGTTAGTGGATCCCTGTACGTATAACTACTCTATTCCGTTATTTGACTTGGATGTTTGATCTAATTTATTTTTGAGTGGTTTGCTTCTCGCGCGAATTCGCGCGAAATTTCGTCTCTATTTTTTAAGACCAATAAAAGTTATTTAACCACATTACTAACCAGTATAACTTTCAATATACTTTGATGTTCACAAAATCAATTTGAGGAAATATATGTTAACAAAAAACAATTACAAAAACTTACCGTCCTATTAGGTGTACATAGATCAGCAGGTTCATTTCCAGCTATCTTGTAATTAGGCACGAGAAAATGTGGCAGAGCGAAGAGTAAGGACCCTGTACCCATGAGGAGTACTCCTAGCCCCAGCCAGCGGGGCTTGGAGGACCCTGAGCGACCTCCCAGGTACGTGACTGGAGCTAGACATGCGAATGATGCCATGTCATAACTGGAACAAAAAATTCTGTCAGTTTCGAAGTAAATTTCGATTGTACGGTAGGTGTAGTCGCTGGGAAAACTGGCTGCTGAGGGAAATCGCAGGAGAGGCTTTAAAAAAGCATAATTTCCATCTGATTTGTATTGTTATCTATGTTTAAGTTTAATCAGCTCATACGTTTTCAGGGTTTCGATTGGAAAATATTGGTCTGTAGCTGTACTTGGACTAAAATAACTAATCTTCAATCTTTGTGGACTTTACGTTTTAGATGAATTTACACGTGGTCTAATCGTGATTAATGTCTACTGTGACTGTTTTGGTGATCGCCGCCGTGATCACCGCCAACGCGCGGATTTTGTTTTTTTTTTTGCGCAGTAAACTACATTATTTATAGTTAAGATAAACACAATTGATCACAAAATTAATAATAACCCATTACAGGTTACTTCATCAAAATAAATCATTATCATAATCCTATGATTATGATAATACTATAATAACTATAATAACGACACTATTGTCGTGGCGGCCCGAAGCGAAGGTTAAGACGCCCGCTTCTCATGCAGGAGGGCGCGGGTTCTAAACCTACCAACGGCAAGTACCAATGTGACTCTTTCCCAGTTATATGTACTTTCTAAGATTATCTAGACAAGTAGACACCACTGGCAAATGGTAAAGGAAAACATCGTGAGGAAACCTAGACTTACAATTTCTAATTATAAGTTTGAAATCGCCGCCAATGAGCAAGCGTGGTGATTTATGCTCAAACCTTCTCCGTGTGAGACGCGGCCTTGCTCAGCACTTATAGGCTGTTGATGCATGATTCATAAAAAAACGTAAATTAGCCGTAGCCGCCATAACTAATTACTACCTAATTTAAAACACAACATAACATAACATAACATCACGCCTTTTATCCACGAAGGGGTAGGCAGAGGTGCACATTATACCACTGTCCAATGTAACACCCACTTTTCACTATTTATGTTATGAGTCCCATGTAATAAGGGGTGAGCCTATTGCCATATACCGGGCACAATTCCAGACTCCGTGCTACTACTGAGATTTTTTTTAAAAACCCAGTAATACTTTGCCCGGCCCGGGAATCGAACCTGAGACCCCTTGCCCGGCAGTCGCACTTGAGACCACTCGGCCAACGAGGCAGTCAATTTAAAATTTAAATGGATAAAAATCCTTATATGCATCACGTACATACCTACCTATAACTTTCCTAATTCTATCAACACACTTGTGTTGATAGAATTATAAAGGATATGACTCACCCTCCAGCTATGACTCCAGTCTGCATGGACCTCAGACCGAACCTCTTCTCAATGGTGGTGATCACCACATTCACGAAACCATTTACCACCATACCTGGAGACAAAGAATTGGAAGCAATTAATTAAAAGCAGTGACAGTTTTATTCTGTGTTGAAGATTTCTATCCCGAACAAAATGGTGAAAGGAATTTAGACCACAAGGTTTTCTAAGTGCTTGAAGACTATGTGAAAGTCTCATTCAAAACGCCTATATAGGTAAGGTAGATAATTTTATGCCATGAGGTGGTCTTCTTTACACGTACGGGGTGGTCCATGTAGTGTCAATACGTTTCTTTTTTAGATTCATCATATCATGCGTATCCAAAAATAACTAAATAGTTTAAGTTTAAAAAGGATTAAAGGCTTAAACTTCAAAACAAATTTCAAGAAGGTAAGTTATTGTTTTATTAGAGAAATCAAGAAAATGATGTCACAAAAAAGTAACTCCACTACAAAAAAAGTTACGAATATTTGAAACCTCACGGAAAATCGCGCAACATACTTAAGATATATTACGGAGACCCTAAGGTGTAACCAACTGTGTATGGGAAATAAACTTTCAAACTGAGAATATACAGATTAGTTCTACAAATATCATTTTAAGTATATTACAGACTGATATTTTCAAGTTCCTATAAAAATATAATTAGGCAAATCTAATCAAACATGCGCATAACAAAAATTAAATCAATTTCCTATCACTAGGCACAATTTTCAAAAATAGTCGGACAGAAATAACCGGTTGCGCTGGCCGTTCACGTTTGTCGATTAAAGTTTCATGTTCCGGTTCGTATCCGGCGCCGGACGGTGACGGACGGCCGGCTGAACGGTCCGTATTAACTGCAATAGACATACGTCGTTATCCATTATATCCCCATTTGTTTTATTAGGGTAAATCTAGATGCCATTTTGTTTTTATTTGGATTTCTACTGCAGACGTAAATAGACACAGTTTCTGTCTGTTGCTAAACGTATTGTAAAGATGCTGCCAACTCTAGAAGTCATAGAATTCCACAAATCTTTGCTTAAAAATACCATGTCTTACAGCAATAGGAAATCGTCAGACTGGTGAGACATGACGTATCTGTTAAATTGACAACTTTCAATAACCAATTTTTACCATCAATTCATTTAAAAATACAACATCAAAAATTCCCGCCCCATTAGTTTACCCCCGTGTTTGGGTGAGCCCCTAAGTTGGGAACCCAGCAATCTGAACTAGTAAACGTGTAAGGTCATATTATATGTTAATTGTCAGAGAATATGTTTGTTCATCAAATATTTGTGGTAGATAAACAAAGTAGGTGAAATGTGGATCACGGCGTCGCCGCCAAATACGTCGAAAGTCAATCTTATCTTACGAAAGACGTAATGTTTAGACATATACCACATTCCTGCTTTACCCATCGGGGAATAGAAGCGTGAACACTTTGCTTACTGCAACCAAGTCTCCATTATTTACATTTACCTTAACACCACGCCTGCTTTTCCCAAGAGAACATAAACAAAAGCGTTTTCCTCACAATTTAACTATAAACAAAAACAAAGTAACATATTATGTTTAAAAGATAGAAATCAAATCTAACTTCGTATAATCGGAATATTCGGAATGCCATCAGATGATTACCAAAATATCCTTTAGGTACAAAAGCCATTAAAACATTGATATATTTTATAATAACTAAAAAAAAAACAAATCAAATCTGTCCCCATATAATAACATCCTGTAATTTCATATAACCTTCATGGTACTAGTTGGTGGGTTCAGTAAATTGTGTAACTTTTCCAATTTATAGATGGTCAGTCAAGATAAACAGAGTCACGTTGGAAAACTTGTGTTACCAGTGTCAAAGTTATTATGAAGTTGTTACTGTCGTGTCAGTAAAACTAGGCTGAACTTTGTTGATCAGTGTAATCGATACTGGTAGTTCGTAGTTTAACGGCTGGTCAAAATATTTGATACATGTATTTTTTTCTGTATGTTTTTGTGTAGTCTGGGGTATTCATTATTATATCATGCAATTTTATAATGATCTATTATATTATGCAATTCATTTCAGGAGCAGGTATTAAAATAAATACATAACGAATCTTAAAACCTTGTTTATTTTAGTAAATTATTGCTGTTGAATAAAATTATTTTTGTGTTGCTAATGAGTCAATTACGAGTTTAAATGATAGTAAATCAACAATTGGGCAAGAGAAGTCTTTGGTAGACCTTTTTTTTGACGGGGGAAAAACATCCAATGGCTTCTCCCGCCCGGGTGAGGCGAGAGGGAGTGTCAGACTCTTAATGACTAAAAAACACCCCGTTCCTGCTCCTGCACTTCGAGCCGGAGTCCCTGCAAACCCGTTAAGTCTTCTGCGGCTCCATATCGACTGTCTGCTAGAGTCAGTCGAGTAAAAGACTTAGACTTAGAATCTCCTATCCAAAAACCAGAATGATGATAGTATAACAGGGTTGAATACTCCCATGATCTACTTTAAATAATAAATTCCCAATAAGTAGCCAAGTAATGCTTTACAGGGTTCCCTTTCAGATGGAGGCTAACACAATTTTCTTTCTTTAAACATTTTTATCATAATTCCCTTAAAAAGTCCATTTATTTAGAAGTGTGTTAATAAAATTTATTATAACGCTTTTACCGAGGGTTCGCATAAACAGGGGGTAAGCAGAGAACATCTAGATGCGTCACTTTCATGCGACGTCACGTTCGGTCCCGAAAATATTGTGTAGGGCCGTGGTACACTGGGATTATTAATATCTGAGACTTTAATGGCGTATTTAAAGACATTCTCTTGAGGGTCAAGCAATAAAGTATTCCTGAGGAGGTCTATTGTAGAATTGGGTACTTTCCTTAATCAGAAATAAATTATTTCGACTGGTCAATACAATAAAATATTAAAAAATAACCACACTTTCATTAATTGATTGTATCACCGACTTCATTTCAGTGTTTTTCCAGCAAATTTTTAGGAAATAAGTACGCTGTTTGACGCTAAAAAAAGTGACGTCATAATTCACAATCTCGTACAAAATTCATAAAAAACTGTCGTTTTTGACAGCTCGACAAAAGTATTGAATTTGACTAGTTGTCAAATACCGTATCGGAGACGTAGAATAAAATTAGAATGTCTTTTGTTTTCTGTATCCCATTAAAGAAGCGACAGGTATCTTTTCTGAAATGCCTTCTTTTTTAAATATTAGTTCATCAACTGTTACCCGAGTCCGATAGTACCTACCTAACAGTATTTGCCTCTTCTAAAAAAATAGTTAGGCATAATCACCACGTCTTTAGTTGAACTATTGTAATTTAAGCTGTTCTCAGTTTTATATCTATCATTTTACGTTTACGAATTCTTTAACGCACGCAAATTGTATTGAAATGTAAACTACAAAAACTCTTTTATTGCTTCCGAAACAGTTAAGCAATTAAATAGATTCATTATTAACAGGGAAAAATATGTTAATTTGAGGTAAAATAACTACAAAGTAACTGGTTTACGTGTAAATAATTAACTATTGTGTGTGTAGTGGGTAGTTACTGTCATAACAAGGAGTTTTGAGGTGAACGACTTTACATAGAAAAAATACGATATTTGCATCTGTAAGAACTGCCATTTGTTCACAATGCTACTAGTTATTTCTATTGATTAACGGTTTTAACACAATACAAAAAAAAAACACAATACATATTTGTACTGGTTTTGCTCCAGTCTCTAAGGTGAATAATGAATAGGTAGATACATTATATTTATTTGTTTACAATAGCAGAAAGTCTGTCTGTCTGTCCCGAGGTTTCTTGGTTTATATTTCATAAGACGCCTAATATTTACTTGAGTGCTTAAAATAATAATGCAATAGATGAAAAACGAAACCATCAAGTTAAGTTTTTTTACCTTTAGGAAAAACGTATCAATTTCTATGATCTTTAATTTGTTGGATTCATGTGCGCTCTACACACATAGTTGGTACCTCTGATGAAATTGAGTACTTGCCAACTAGTCAAATTCAATACTTTTTTCGTTTAGTTAAAAATACTAATGTTCTATGTACGGTTATAAAATCAATGAAAGTGTGATTTTTTTTAATACTAGCTTTTACCCGCGGCTTCGCTCGCGTCACAAAAGAATAAAAAGTAGCCTATGTGACATATACCAATACACACAGCGCCATCTATACCAATCTTTTGTTTTTCCTCGGGAATATCAATTTTTCCGGGTTAAAAAGTACCCTATTATTTAATCCGGACTTCTAACTTTACGTCTGCAAAAATTCAAAGCAATCGGTTGAGTAGTTACGGCGTGAAAGTGGAACAAACAAACAAACAAACTCACTTTCAGATTTATAATATTAGTAAGGATTTGATTGTATTGAACAGTCGAAATAGTTTATTTTTGGTTAAGGAAAGTATCCATTTGAATACGAAATTAAGAAATTTAATTTTCCTATATTACAATTTTATTGCTTTGCGTACATTTTTTCTTAATTCTCTTTAAAAATCTAAGTAAGTACTAAGTAGCAACGAGCAAATAGAATAAGAAAACTTTTGTAACTTGATTTAATTTTTGCCTAGTACGCAACCAGCCTAACACTTTTACAAAGATTTCCCAAATGAATGGCTAATAACAAAACCAAGCAGTGTGCCTACTCCGCTCATCTAGTTTGGCGTGATTAATAGGTTCCGTGGAGAAGTGCAACATCACGCCAAGTGGATACAATACTGCTTTAATTAAACGAAAGCTTTTCAAAGAAATTTACGTGAGAAGCTAAACTGTTGATGATGGAAGATGGTGTGTATTGGAAACTGGGTACTGTATTGTCAGTTCACTCATTCATCAGGTGTAAATGCTGAGTACGTTTCTTCAATTAATAATATGAATAAAAACTGCCTGAAGATGTAGCTAATTTATGTACTGTATCTTTTACAACCAATTTTTCGAAAAAACACTCGTTCTCTTTAATCGACTGCACGGTTGGTGCGGTGGCTGGGCAACCGGCTGCCGTGCAACGTGTCGCGGGTTCGATTCCCGCACGGAACAACACTTTGTGTGA